ATATTCTTTTAAAGAAGCAAATATACCCTTATTGACTTTAAATAGATAAAATAAATTTCAAAAAACACCAAAAGTAAAATACAAATTTGAAATTTAAAAATAAAGATTTATTATTATGTTAAAACATTAACTCTTTAATTTTCAATTTCAAAATTATTATTTATTTGTTGTAAATGAAGCACTTCAAATTCATAAATATTAATTTTAGTCTTGTTATGAAATTTTGAACACATTGTTATATTTTTTGAAATAACATTCTTTGAAATTAATAAAATTAATTTTACTATTTTTTAATCTTAAACTATTTATCATCATACAAAATATGTAATTTTATAGTGCAAAGAATGCAAAAAATTGTTGTTTTTTATATTGGAACACATGAGTTAACACTTTTTTCGAAAAAATCTTAAATATATAGTAAAGTTTTGAAATAACATTTTATGCTAACAATATTTAAATGTGATATACAAACAATAAAAGGGAGGGTTGGACACAAGTACATTTTTACATTTTTTATATTATAATTTTAAATTTATAATTTATTTGTGGTGTTTTTATAAAATTTATTTTATCAATTTAAAATCAATAAGTGTATATTTGATCCTTTATAAGAATATGAGGGGTATATTTGCACCTTTTAAAAAGTTCAAAAGTATATATGCACTTCCACATATACTAGGGTATATTTGTTCCGAAAAATAGAACAAGAGTATATTTGTTCTCACGTTCATACTACAAGGGGATATGTATACCTTTTCTCAATATATTTATGATATTAAATTAAATTTGTACTACTACTTAGGTTTTAGGGGGGGAGATAAATGGATGATTCTATTTATTTCAATACTGTGACTTTTTATTTACAATTAGGGCTTCTTCAATGTGTGACTATCTAGTCTAGGAAAAATATGCCTGACTCGTCAAATTAGACATTGTCTATATATTAGATCCTCCAACGTATGTAGTTTTCAATTCATTTTTGTTGAGTTGGCAAAATAACTACTAGACACCGTGAAGATGAAAGTGCGAGAAGAGAGTAGTCTAAACTTGGTGACTCGGCAAAATCAACAAAAAAGACGTGGTTTGCAACTATATATTTTCAACGTGGTTTGTATTGAACCGTAAAATGGAACTCAGTTTTTTTTTAATTCACGACACCAGAAAATCTACAAATATTTGTACTCCCTCCGTCCCGAAATGACTTTCTCGGTTTGACTTACACACATATTTATGTAGGGTAGAGTATTATTTTGACTTTGCAAGTTTACCCTTACTTTATGTCAAATCAAACAAAAAGTGTGTAAAAAGTAAGGGTAATTGTGACTTTTTGGATAAAAGTGGTTTCCTTTTATAGAAATGAGAACTTCTTTTTTGGACATCCATAAGAGGAAAGTACCAACTTCTTTTTTTTGGGACGGAGGTAGTATTTTGTTTGGAAATAATTCGGAGGTAGTATCAGTCGGCGTAACCCGTGACTCGCAGGGAAAATTCTCACTGATATTTCAAGACTTTTGCATTTTTTCAAATTCCATGATGCATTTTTTGGCGAGGGTGTCAATCGATTAGTTTTTTGCTTTCTCTACACCTTATTTCAGAAGTTTAGGAAGAGGGGGTATGAGATTATTACCTGGTTTCGTTCATAGGGAAGCATTAAGTTTTTTTTGTTATCAACAGTACGTTTTTTTAATTTCAAAGAATTTTATTACACCATATTTGGTCCATCGCTACGCCTAAAAATGATGCATGACAATGAAAAATCATTAATTGCCTTTGTCATCATTCATCAACCACGATTTTTAAAACGTGGTGATTTGGATCTTTGTGTGTGATTTGTTAAAGTTTAACACCGGATATCTCTGAAAGAATTAAACACAATATTAAGATATGGGTTATTCCTTCTATCATGTTGATCTTTTAGGATGGAATCACGAATCATAAGATAACACCATAAATATGGTTGATTTTGAGCTTTACGGAAAAAATGAGAAACATTGGCAATCATGTTTCTTCGTCTGCCAAATATAGGAGAATTGCCCGGCAAACATTGAACACATCTTTAGATGATCCCGTCCACATTATGCTGAAAATGATAGGGATCATTCTAACAGTGATACTACACATCACTTAACAATTTCTTTCTTTATTCACAAAATTGTGAACGAGGGTAAGACAGATTTTTTTATAGCCATAATTTGTTCGAAACAACCATGTATCACCTCTAAGTTGGAAGAAACGTATGGTAAAGAAAACATGTGTTTTTATTGAAGTGCAATCCATTTTATTAGTAAAAGATTTTTTTATTTTCTAAAACATGGTTTAATAATGATTTACTGCATCAATCACAGGTACATGTTGTCATCCACTATTCTTCCTTCAATATAAATGATTATAAATCTTTTACTTTATATATATTCAATTTTTGTCAAATTTGAGTTATTTTTTGCGATTTTATAAAACTTTTAATATAGTTTCTTAATATATAATATGTATTTATCAAAACCACAAATTAAAAAAAGAGGTTGTCTTCCCTCGTTTAGGGTTTTGAGCTTCTCCGCTTCGTCTCCTTCGACGAAGAGCGGCAGTCCAAGTGTGCAGGCGTCATCAGGCTTCAAGGCGAGGCCAATTCCAAGGGCTCTTTTTCTTTGGTCGAGCAGGGTCGGTTGAGTAGAAATGGTTGGAGGACATTGTCAATCAGGTTTCTCCCTTCCGCCGTTGTGTGCGGTTCAATTCCCAATTGATGAGGGCGGCTTTCAAGACACTGAATGTGAACAAGGTGATGGCGGGAGAGCAGCGGCGTAATCGGGGAGGGTAGATGCTCTGTCGGAGATGGCTGGGCAGTGGGCACGATGGATGGGAGACAGGGCAAGAGGAATCTACTCCGATTGGTTGATGCTTCGATCCATTCTGCGTCAACAATCATAGCGATGATCTGGCCTCCTCCCGAACCACCGCCAACTGGAATCGTTGGGGTGCAACTGAATTTCCACTATTTTATTTTCTTCTTTGTTATTTGCTTTGATCAGATTGATTTTGTTGTTGTCATTTACTTTTATTTTGGTCAGACTCTTGCATTAGGTTTGGACGATGAGGGGTCTATTTTAACCGTGTAGGCTCATTTAGACCCATTATAGGATCAGCGAGTCTTCTTGCTCTTTACAGGGTGATTGGCTCTAAGTCTAGTTCGAAAGTCGGCGGTTGAAAGTGGTCCTTTTATCTTCTTGTTCCGTTGTTGAGTGTTGTGATATCAGTTTAAACCGCGTTTTTCGAAAAAATATTATTTATTTATCAAGAACAATCTTATTATTGATAGTGATCAATTATCTTTATGACTAATCAGACATTGTAAACTGAACGGAAACCTTTATTCAGGATGGAGAAGGTACTTTTAATATAGAGCCCGTTTGGTAACACTGTTTTTCGACTTATCAGACTTATCAACTATCTTTTTCACCAAACATGTAAATTTTGATTTCACGAGCAGGATTGTGTAATAATAAGAAAAGGTAAGATTGAATTTACTTTTCTAGCTGTATCGGCTGAAGTTACTGTAGAGTACCGGCCCTAGCCCGCCAACCGAGTCGGTGACCCGTCCCCGGACCGGTACTGTTTAGTACCAGCCCGGCCCACCAACCAAGTCCGGGCAGGGTCCACTATACCCGAATCGGGGGTCTGTAAAAGGCGGGTCCGAGTCTACCAAAAGAAGGACCGGGCCCGATCCAGGCCTATAACGGCTACTTTAAAAAATAATAATTAGAGTTGTTGGAGTCCATAGTCATTGGAGTTACTCATATCTAGGCTTGGACTCGGGTCGGGCCACCCGGCCCGTGGACCGGCCCGGCCCACTACTGTGCGGGACCGGGACCGGCCCGGTTCTCGGGTCCGGGTCCGGGTCGGGCCTAGGCCCGAGGGGTAAGGCGGATCCGGGCTCGGGTCTCAATTTTGGTGAACCGGCCCCGGGCCAAATTGAATTTTTTTTCATTTTTGGGGTTCCACCTGGGTTGGGCTTGATGGGTAGGATGGGTTTGGGGGGGTTTGGGAGGGTGGGGGTGAGGGGGGGGGGGGTTAGGAAAGCAAAAAAAAAATCCAAACCGGAGGCCCGGCCCGGCCCGGACCCGGTGGCTACCCGGGCCGGTCCCGGGTCCACCATTCTTGAACCGCCGGCCCGCCCGGGCCTAGGCCCGACCCGGACCCGGCCCGGACCCGAGTCCACCCCTACTCATATCTACAGAATGTCTAATACCTTAATCTATGTTGAATATAATTTTTTCATAAATCCGCAAAATCAGCCAATTCAACCGATTTTGGTATTACCAAACGAGCTCATAATTGTACATTTAGTCATTAGTATTTTTTTAAATGTAATTCAAAAAAATCTTATTGCCTAATTCAATCCTTGGTTGTTTTTTCTTTTTCATTTCAAAATCCAAATAGAATGTAACGAACATATGGGTGGGTCAGGGAGGATTTATTGTTTAAATTAAATTGGAAAAGTACAAAAAAGTATATGTGATTAGAGTCATTTTCAGATAGAGACCTGTGTTACTGTGTATCAATTCCGTTATCACAAAAGAGCCCCGATTCTCAACATAGTCCCATTTTCTTTTTGATTTTGGTAGGTCCCAAGTTGAAACAAAAAAAACAAAAACAAAATATGGCAAGTCAAGACCACAACCAAGACCAAAACCGTCCAATTCAGTCCCCAAATCTGTTAACTCCCCCTATGCGGACAGGGTCAGTCCTAGGCCTGACACTAGAAATAGCAGACCCGGTACCGCCCCAAACAGTGCCGAACCCGGTCCAGGCCCAAACAATGCCGAACCCGATCCAGGCCCAAACAATGCTGAACCCAGTCTGGGCCCAAACAGTGCCACATCCAGTTTCATACCAGGCCAAACCGCCGGACCGAGTCCATGCCTAAGTGAAGGTAGTAGATACAAGGATCACCATTGAACTTTTTATGCATTCAACTCATATTCAGTCAAAATCACCCACCCCAAGTAACTTTCAAATCTAAACTTCATGTTTACTACACTTGGCTCAAATCGAATAAGAAGAGGCAACAACATCATTTATGGTTTCCCAAAATTACAATACAAGACAAAATATTAACAGCAATGAGAATGCGAAAAAATAGCATAAATGTACAAAATTAGTCAGCTAATTGAATGAGAGAAACAAAGGGCAGGCACATCAAATGGACCTAGTGTACAGAAAATGTGATGTAATATATATACAAGGTTTTAATTCACCGTCACCTCACTACATTTTCACTTGTTGCTGGTACCTGTGTTGGGTAATCAGACATTTGAATATCAATGACTGAGAGATCATATGGAAGAGATTGAGTATTAGATGTCTCTACTTCTAATGAAGAGTTTCTTGTCACGATTTTTGGGGTAATTATACTTGTATCCAGAATTTCAGGACTAGAGCTGCCAGAAGACGAGACACTTGGTAACTGAATATCTTCCGATTTATTGCCAAACACACTCTGGTTTCTTCTAACAGAGTCCATCTCTGTGCCAGTTGGGACAAAAGTGCGTGCCCTATACTTCTTGGATCCTTCTTCGCCCTCACTATTATTGTATAACACATAGTTATGATATGTAGGTGCAAACTGCATTTATAAGATTAGAAAAGAATATTTAGAATACGATAAAATGAGAAACTAAAGATGACCCATAAATAGAGTACGTGCGATATGCACCTGATGCACTGTATCATGGTAAAAATCATTTAGTTTAAGGGCATGTGCGAGGCTTGCTCTGAAGGAACCAGAAACACCTATATTTGCACCAGCGTATTCCTTGTATGGAAAGGCATAAAGGTGACCAACAGCTGCAATAAGCATTTCGACGCATATTATGAAATCTTGAAACTTTGCAGCTTCTTCTGTATCCTTTATAAACCCAGACTTTGCGGCAAGAAAAACCAAAACACCCTGATGAAAGAAAGTTTACAATTACAGTCATCAGCGAGGCTGTAAGTTGAATGAAACTTTAAATTCAAAATGCACTAGCAGTCAAATTATAAGATACATTCTTAAACTGTCAACAAATTTATAGTTCAGCATTAGAAATGAAAATAATCATTACTACACCAAAATGAGAACCAAAAATCATTGTTGCATCTACCTCTTTTCAACTAATTCACTACCACCGACATGCTTCATTTAACATTTTCTCAAGTAAAAGCTTCCCAAGCATGAATGAACATTTTTACCAAGAAAACAGAAATATAGAGCAACATAAAGCATGACCCTTAGGATACTTAGTTAAGTGTAGATTTGATAAGTAACTGAAGAATCCAAGAAGAAAGTAGTAGTTTATTAATGAAAATTTAGTGAAGGAATACAGAAAGTCACGAAAGGAAAGGTTTGAGACTCTTCGAGTGGTCTCTCACTCCCAATATCCCAGTCCTGATCCCAAGTTCTGCCCCCCCATCTAATCCCCACTCACCCTTATTTATTCTATTTCTAATGGGCCAGCCCACTTCTAATAAGTTGTAGGGCCTAAACCCTATTATTGAACAAAACTAAAATGACTTAATAAGGCTCTAATTCTTGGTAGTGTTCAGGTCCCTAACATCACTCCCCCCTTTAACTTCCACCTTGTCCTCAAGGTGGATGATAAGAGACTGATTTTGCATTAGGTTCCAGCAAGTTTTCAGCTCCATCCCGCTCATAAAATTGATCTACTGTGCCCTCCTCTTCTTCTGGCTCTTCCCTCAAGATCAATTGATAATGTTTCATTCCAGAAACATGCTCTTTGCCCCATTTGTTTCCACATTTGAAGCATAAGCCCTTCTTGCTTCTTTCTTCTAAGTCTGCTTGTGTCAACCTTTGGCCACCTTCCCATGTCTTACTCGGTTTTGGCGATTCCTCCAGTTTGTTCTGTGAAAGTGTTCTCTCCGGATTTAACGCAGGTGTTCTTCCCTTTGTTGCGTCTACCCAGTTCCAGGGTCTAACCATTTTTCCTCCCTGTTCCTTCCAACCTATGTTGTCTTCTTCTTTATTTTTTTTCACTGTCCACACCTTATTCTTCTGCTCCAACAACAAAGCCTTGTCCATCAGTTCAGTTAACCCACTGGTCTGGTGCAACTTCAGTTCCGTGCTAATTTCTTTTTTAAGGCCATTGAGAAACACTCCTTTTAACATCCCTTGGTCAGCAAGTTTGAGAGGAGCTACAACCATTTCAAAGTGATCCCGGTATTCCATTACAGAACCAGTTTGCCTAATACTGAGCATAGGACCAAACGGATTCTGCACTAAGGCGGGTTGAAAACGCCGGAACAAAGCATCTTTGAAGTTAACCCAAGAATGGTCATCAGTCTGTTCATCCCACCATTGGTACCAGTTCAGAGCTTTTCCGGCCATGGCTATCAAGATTATTTCTACTTTATCCTCTTCTGCCACATGGTTGAGTTTGAAATAGCGCTCAACCCTAATCAGCCATCCATAAGCATCGTCTCCACTAAAAAGTGGTAAATCGACCTTTCTTCCAGTATATACACGGTCGCTGATTCTCTTCTGATAAGGGCTGCGTGAAACTGAGTGAGTTTCATGAGATTTACCTTCAGAACTAGAGGAGCTCACGCTTGCTGAAGTATGGCGACGCCGGTTTGTGGTTGATCGTCCTCTTCTCTTATGGCGGTCACCCTGTAACATGATATTCTTCAATTCGGCCACGGTCTCACGGCAGTTCTCACTTCCGCTAGGGTGTTTTCCAGATTTTCCACACGTTGCTCCATTCTCGATCGGGTCAAGACCATGCGCAGGTAAGGCTTTTGTCAATGGCTTTGATACCAATGATAAGTAACTGAAGAATCCAAGAAGAAAGTAGTAGTTTATTAATGAAAATTTAGTGAAGGAATACAGAAAGTCACGAAAGGAAAGGTTTGAGACTCTTCGAGTGGTCTCTCACTCCCAATATCCCAGTCCTGATCCCAAGTTCTGCCCCCCCATCTAATCCCCACTCACCCTTATTTATTCTATTTCTAATGGGCCAGCCCACTTCTAATAAGTTGTAGGGACTAAACCCTATTATTGAACAAAACTAAAATGATTTAATAAGGCTCTAATTCTTGGTAGTGTTCAGGTCCCTAACAAGATTATACCTGCCAGTATGTCAGAAAGACAACAGACTTGATCATGATGAACTTTGGAACAGGATTAAATGGCTGCAGTAAATCTCTGCATGCTACATAAAATAATAGCAAGGCATAAAGAGCCACTGAGTATGAGAAGGTATATATAATGGTGAGATAGAGGTACGATTGCCTCGGGTTGAAATCTCCATCCTGATATTTTCCTTGTGCATAAAGTGCAAATGTGACTCCAACTAAGATGGGCTTGAGGATTACAAACTGCAAACAACCCTGCTTGCACCTTCGTATGAAGCGCCTGCACAACTTCGAAAGTAAACAAGAGAGACCAAGATGGAATGCAAATGAAGTAAAGAGATAGACAGAACTGGCTAAGACAAATAGATGTGCAGAAGAACAAGAAAGCAACACATGAACGCATGCATAATATGAATTGTAACATAAATTTTCACAACCAATGATGTACAAGTAATACACACACACAGCATCATTAAATTACTGTAAAGCCATACGGATGGTACAAATGTGTAAGAGACTTACCCATCCAATGGAGTTGGAGGAAAGCAACATGTCATCAGGCAACAATTATTCTTTAGAAATCGACCACTCAAATTTAGCACAACAGCTCCTGGACCACCTACCCATGCCAAGCACAATGATAGGAAGTTATATATCACCCAAGCTTCATATCTGAAATAGAAATCAAACACTCATAAGACTCATCACATAAGCTTATTAACAACATGATAATCCTATTACACCACATACCATGAAACTCAACTACTAAAAAACACTATTCATAAAATGTATGAAAAGAAACTAGACGCTAAGGTGAATGTGTAAAATTGGGAACACAAGGGTTGTATACTTGTATTAGAAATGATGCTGTGAGTAAGGTTCAAAAAATATACCCAAGATGTTTTTAGTAACTAAGGAAACATCATTATTAAATCAAACAAAGGTACAATATGCGAAAAGGAACGCGTACAAGTTCAAAAATATAGGGGTAGACCATAAACTTGCTTTTGGTGGATATTTTTTGTGCGAAAAGATGATGCAACTAAGACCCAAAATATCATCAAGCTCAAAGCTGAATAGCGAAATAAAATTCATACGGGCATACCCTAAAAGTTAGAACAGAAGGCATGCGTCGAAAAAAGGGTATACAAAGGTACTCAATCACAGCTCTGGACTTCTGGGTGGTTCTTACACATTATTGTAACCAACCCCTGTTTAGCATTTTCTTTTAAAAAGTAAAAACCTGAGAATCCCAGGATTTGGAAAAAACAATGTGGTTTTGTTTTCACAGGTTATATGGATTTGCACGAGATTTAATCATGAAAACTTAAAACTTACGTAAATGTACATTTTCATTAATTAATGTTTTGGGTTAATGGTAACTATTAAATGATGCCAACTACTTCCATAAATTTAGAAATTCATTTTCGCTAACCTTTAGGCAAATGACTGTTAGTAGTTGAAATATGTGAGCTATGGCACAAAAATGGGATTTTTGACCTTAATGGTTTGATAAATTATAAAACCCCAACTACCTGGTACATTATAGTACTTTAAAATTCTATAACAAATATAACCAATTGTTCTAATATCATGGATCGATTCATGTTAGCCGGCCCCAAAATCTTGTGGGAATAAGACTTGGATGTTGTTGTTGTTTGTTGTTCTTGAATGACGGGGAACTAGATGGAGATGTACTCGTAGAATCAGAACAGGGTAGATGAAATAGAAAAGTGCGTAGATGAAGGTATGCCGACTAGGCTGAAGGGTAAGTTTTATAGGGCAGCAATTGGGTCTGCATTAATGTATGGTATAGAATGCTCGGTGATGAAACAATGTCACATTCAAAAGATATGTGTGGCAGAGATGCGTGTGTTGTGTTGGATGTAAAAGCATTCTAGAAAAGACCGTATGAGAAATGAGACAATTAGACAAAAGGTGAGAGTAGCACTTATTGAAGATAAGAGACGAGAGTCTCGATAGCGATGGTGTGGCCATGTACATAAACGAGTTGAGAGATGGGGAGAAAAGGCAGGGAGGAGAGGGAGAGGAAGAATAGAACAAAAGTGGATCAAAGGAGTCAGGAGTGATATGATGCTTTTGGTTAGATGAGATTATGACTTTAGAAAGAGCGAAATGGAGAGAGAATATTCGTGTGAAGCATTGATCTCATTTCATCTTGTTTATCTTTCTTATGTTCTCTATCTTTTTATCTTTATTATCCTTTTTGTCTTTATATGTAATTTATATCTTTAAATTAACTTTTTGTATCTTATTTTTATCTTTTTTCGCTCCAATTTCATATGTAGATTCATGTTACCTGACCCAAACTCTATTGGGAATAAGGCTTAGATGTTGTTGTGGTTCTTGAATGAAAAGAAACCAGGTTATTGGGAGTAAAAGTGTTGTTTCGGCATTTCAAGGATATATTCGGGATGGGGTTTCAAGATGAGGAGAGGAGGTTCAGAGACAATTAAGAGAACTATTCATGGTAATGAGTTTATACTAATTTATAATCACAGTCCTACATTTTGTTTTGAATTTTTTTTAAGTCACTATCTTTTAAAATCAATGCCCCCCAAAAAAAATATCCCTTTCCATTGAACGCCGTAGGTGGAAAACTAATGGGGATTTTGAGGATAGACAAACCTTATCAAATATTGTAGCCTAGCTATAGATTGATTAAATTCCATGGAAGAAATGACGAAAAAAATTGCAAGCATGTCTGAGGCAACTTTAAGAAGCTAAAATTTACAATAATAATAACAATAACAAAGAAGCAGCAGCAGCAATTCAGCAACAACAATAAATGTTTCTAATTCTGCTTCCTTTCTCTTTTCATCATGCAAATGTCCTTAATTTGTTATTTAATAGTTGTCAATTATCCTTACCCAAAAACATTTACACACCCAAAGTTATTGCTCCTTTTAATAATAATAAATTATAAAATCATAAGGAAACTTGAAATATATGATATTTATTATCTCCAATAGAACACATAAACAGCATGGAAAGAGTAGAGGACTACCTTGTATGGTATAAAAGATACAACACCATTATTAAATACCAAATTAGGAAGGACATGTCCAAGGATATGAATCTACTTACATTTCACGTATGGAATTGAAAAAAATTGCATTCTTGTCCAGAACAAGCGACAGAAAAGACATCAGCGCGTACACCTATAATGAAGAAGCATTTTGGAATGGTTATTATGCAACATGGAATCAGTAAGGTCTAGTTCATATTACACTGCACTAGTGCAGTTCACTTTACACTGCAAAAATGTCAAGATTATATAAAATTTTAGCTAGAGATTTAATTCCTAGTTTGGTCCTCTGACGGTAATCACCTACTCATTCGAGTCTCTACTCTCTAACAATTGATTTCGCTCCATGTAGTCGTACATTACTTTTATCATTGGGACTGGTACCAATTAAGGGCAAGATACTAAAATTATTTCTGTTTCCATCATTTGCAATGGAGCCAAAGATTCATTATTTTTTGGCTTGAGATTATGATGGAATAAAGCAAAATGGCTCACTAAACTGTTTGCGCTTCTTTGTCATGAAGCAGCAGTCAGTCCATGCAATTTTGGATGGGATTTTCACTATGGGTCATCCGGAAACAGTCTCTCTGTGCTTTAGTACAGGGGTAAGACTGCGTACATCCGACCCCCCCTTACCCCACCGTAGGTGGGAGCCTTTGCGGCACTGGGGTAAATGAAAATGAAAATGATACTAAAATTATTTCTAATATAGATCTCAAAATATTGGAATTCTTAGTTCTGTTTCACAAGTTCAACTCTGGGATCTGATATCAATCAATCATAGAAATGATCAACTGTGTCCGATCAGATTCATTGTTCTGCTAACTCAGAAATCACATATGTGACTTCTGATGCTCATCAGGGAGGTGGGGCACGACGGCACGTGCAAAGATGCAACAGGGTAAGGGAACGAAGACAAACCCGATGATATCAGCTAACTGATGCCGCCACTCTCGACCACCCAAACACTGACTAGCTCTACCACTGTCTCTAATTCCAACTACCACAGTATCACTGACTACTAGTACTACAAAAAACTTGTACTTTGAATGTATCTTCAAAATATGATGTATGAAAAATTGTTCTTGAAAACAGAAAATGAAACCAGGAAAGCTACAAATGAAAAACTGGAGAACTGAAGTTAACATGCTTAAGGACTTATATTAATTGCCAGAATTCAAATGTTCACCTCAAGTCAAGTGTGTATACGTATTTTAAAACACCTCAAGCTTAGTCTCTAAAAGTTGATTTGTGGATCCTATCAAGTGCTCAGACGTTTTGAAGTGTTTTCAGGTGGGACTGTCAGAGCACTTTGGATATCACGATTTTCCTGGATGAAAACATGTACGAAAATGAATTGTCCTTCTTGTTAGGAATAGTGTAGGAAAACTACACGTGTATTTCTTTGTAAAGCAATGTAACTGCTTTCTGTTAGGCTTCGGTTATGTTAGCTATGACTACTTCCTGTATAAATACTCTGTAATATCTGATTCTAAGTAAGATGATTTCATTTCTGCTTCTACCTTGCTTCATTTCTATTACTTCTAATCCAAATTACCTTAGCTTCCATTGCATGAGAACGATTTTATTACTCCGCCATCACTTCTTACGCCTTCCAAATGATAAGTGTAGTGGTTTACTAAATTAAGAAAAAATCTCCATTCACAAACCCAAAACATCCATTTAAAAAACACAGACTTACTTAATTGGATTAGGGACCATAGTCGGGAGACTAAATCACCAAATCGGGAATTAACTATAAGCTCTGGCTAATAAATTTCTCAATTACAGGACATCTAGGCTATTATCTTGACCAAATCTCACTTTCATAAAACAACTGCAGAGAAGTGAAATAGACTATATTTACTAAAACACGTGATTGATTGAGCAAGAATGAGGCTGGGTATGATCACTCACAGGAACCATAAATATGATGCGCACAATATATCTCTGATATGTAGGTTCAGTGTAATTAAGGAGATGTCTATATATGTGGAGAATAGCTAGCCCAATGGCACCAATGGTACATGGAAATGCAACAATGATAAAGTACATAGGCCCCATTCCTTGTGAAGTCGACCAATCAGCCACAGCCTTGTGAGGAACCTAATATAACCAAAGAAAAGAACAAAAGGCACACACATCAAAGAGTTCTTCACCATAAAAATTTGAAGAAAAAAATCAACTTAAAAAAACAGAAAGCAACTCTGAGCATTCAATTGGCAAAGCAAAATGCTACAGCTAGACATTCAAATGTCGGAACACATAACCCCAACATAGCACTTCAAATCTGGTTAAACAAGGCAACTAGGCAAGCAAGTCATAGATCAATTGCGTCATTGGGTGGATCCCAGCAACAATACAAGGAACATATAAGTATTGTTCCTACATATTAAAATCTCACGTGAACCTAAAGAAAAATGATAGACCCTATAAAATTGAGCATGGACTTTTATTATTTATTATAAAAATGCAAAAAGGAGAGCAAAAAATCAACGCTACTGTTTTGTTGAAAATCAGTTGAAGATTAAAGAAAGAAACAGGAGTAACCAACTTTATTGACGAAATCAAGTAAACGAAACAAGACGTCTATGACGAAATCAAAGAACGAAAGGGACCGCGCTCTAAGTACCTTGGTGAGGTGGTAGCAGGGAATTACGACGGTTGAACTCCGTAGGAGCAATATTTTGCAGTAAAACAAGCGGATCCGCAGCCGAGGTTTCCAGAATGCCCAAAGGCGGCCAAGGCCGTGGCCAGTGCTTCCAGCCGTAATACGGACGGAGTACAATTCAGCAATCAGTATGTTACTGTATTCCAATTGCAGAAACCCATACAGAACCAAAGAGTTGAAACTTAAAAGTACGGAGTACTTCTTTCGTCCATACGGAGTATATTACTCCTAATCAATTGCCAAGTGCTGTACGTATTTATTTATGTATAAAAGCTTTGTGCGTGAACGAATGTGCTGTCCTGAATATAAATTAGTTGTATTCTCATAATAAAAATACAACATTTTTACCTTTAACATTTTTGTATTTTTTTTTTGTTATTTTCATTTGACCCTCTTTATTGTTTATGCTAGTTTTGGACTATATTGGGTCAAGTTAAAATGAATATTTATAATCAAAATTTACATATTTAACTTTTTCACTATCAAAGTTCTATAGAATACAAACAAATTAATAAAACAAAATGAAAAATAAAGAATATCATTGACCATAAAAAAGTCTAAGCTCTAATTTCATAGATATTTTATGAATGAATTTCATTGATTTGTATATAAAATTCATGGATTTCATATGAATAACATTTATCAATTTTGTGAAAAATACAAATTTAAACAAGAGTAAAAGAGTTATGTTAAATAACATTCATAAATCTAAACATCATAAGAAGTCAGGTACATGATTACACAAAATCATAAGAAACAATTAAAATAAATAAATCAAACAAATTTGATTTATTTAATAAATAAATAATGTGGAGTTCTACAAGAATAAATCAGATCTAAGCATCCAATTTATGTACATCCTGGTACCCACTTCCCGAGCCAGTACTACTCTATGTCTGTGATGGACTGCCGACCCTAGGAGTAGTCGGAATCCGAAAAATAAGGGAGAAGATCGGAAAAGCTCAGGTAAGAAATTATGCAGAGTAATAGCAAGAGTATTCAATTTCAGATCTTTTCTCACATGTTGGAAGGTGATATTTACATTAGGAGGGCAATACTTGGTATCCAAGTAAAAAGATGTTATTCTATTGTGGAGAGAACACGTGTCCTGCGAGTCTAACAAACTAATCAGACTAATCTAATGGAGTGTTGGCACGTGTAAAGGTGATTGGAGAGGTAAATGAAACAGTTGGCTGATTGGAACTGTATGTAATAAATTGGTACTGGAATACATGTGCGAGCTACGCGTGTATTACCTCTTAGGGTACTGGTGACGTGGCAACAGCTTATGATGCACTTGGTTCCGTGATGCTTATTGTTTAAGTCCATAAAGTGTTTGATGAGACCCCAAGCTCCATGAGGTCAGAGCTCGGATGTGTGTGCTCATTAATAGAGGATCTGTCTCTGGTCTTCGGTCTTGTCTTGTAACGTTGACTCTCTTGTTGGCTCCGCTTGACTTCGGTTGACCTTGCATCAGTGTCAGAGGTCAGAGTCGGTACCAAGCTCGGTGTGCCCCATGCTGGCATCATATTTTACTTTGTCTGGGTGATTCCTGAGCTCAGTGTTTTCGCTGACCTCGGAGGATCAGAGTCGACCTCGGTTGGGTCTTCTGTTCTTTGTCAGAGATAAAGTGTCATTTTTGCCTGATTTTGGACCCCTTTGTCTCTCTCCTACACTACAATCTTTAAAAAGTAGTTGATGAAGAGTTTTAATAATACCCAATTTCAGATTTGCAACTGTTTATTAGCTGGGAAGGACATCTAATAATTTCAATTTTTTTAAAGATCTACCACATTCTATGAGCTTCATTCAAATGAGAATAACCGCGTGCAGTTTGTTGTTGGATCCTTTCATAATTGAGATCACATAAGGAAACTCCAAAGTTCTATAGACCTTGAAGTTGAAAGAAAAGTGTAAAATGTCTTTCTAGAAAATCCTAGAGAATGATCAATTGGGAAAATACTAGAAAAAACTAATCATCAATATATGGATTAGAATATGAGACATCATTTCTTCCATCTAAGAAGAGAGTTACAAAAAATGATGTGGATTTAAATATTGAATGTAAAAAACATTTCTTTATTTTTGTATCAGTGAGTGTATTAGAGTATTAGAATTTAGACTACAAGAACACATACTAGCTCTCAATTAGGATTAGGGAGTGTATAAGGATGAATGTCATTCAAATGAAATAATGACGTAGTTGTTCCGTTTAATCTATTCTCATATATGCTATCAAATGATGCCAAGTCCAACATGTTGATGTATCTCTTTAGAATGCATGGTGAGAACTCTGTTTTTATGATACTTTAGGGCTAATAGTATGTTTGGATTTCTTAAAATCTTCCATGAGCTTCTAAAATAGCTATTTTTGTCATTGCATATAACATGAATACATGATGTTGGAGGTTTTCTCTAATGTATAATGTTCCTGGACACATTATGTATCAATTACAGTGCCACTTCTCAGTCTTAACTTCAAATACTAGGTTTATTATATTATTGAAATTCAATCGTAAAAGCAGTCATTTTTTTTAGAAAATAACTGATTTTTATATGTATATTTTGGCGCAATTATCTTCAAAAAATTATTTGTCTACCTTCCTGATTGAATTTTTAACTGAAATTTTGTGGACATAATCTACACTCTATTGGAAACATACTCGAAAGATTTCAGCAAAAAGTAAAGCCACCTCAAAACGTGGTGGTAGGACGGCTAAGCGTCTCTCCTAATTCCAATCACTGGTACTACCATGAAATATAGATATGCAAGAAGTTGTGAGTTTTTAGAGCTAACACGGGACTATGGGAGTGTTGAGTTTCAAATAGAAAATAAAATAATTGATCACCTTAATTTCGCCTTGTATTCGTATTCCTTTAACAATACTAATAGTTAACGAATCATATACGAACATCGAATCAATTTGATCGTAAGTTAAATATTAGTGAAATATTGCTTTAAAAAGGCTTTTCCCATATATATATATATATATATAGGTGTTTTTAAAATTCATTGGATCGATATGTTTTTAGGTTGTGTACAATAAACTAAAGTGAATCAATTTTATAATTAATATACATAAATCTATTTTCAAATTCAAATCATAGTTTTTGAATCCAAATTACTAACCGAATCAAAATTATTCGCTTTGTTACAACACTTAAGCTCTGTATGATACTTCTTATTTATTATTATTGGGCTTGAATTGGAATGTGTGTACATAAATGTATATATAGGCTACTTTTTAAGGGTATAACTAGCTTTTAAAAGTTATTGTAAACTATTAATAAATATTGAATATATTCGATTAACATTCAAATCGAATATGTTGATATTCTTATTTGTATTTGATAACAATTCAAATCAAATTTAGTATTCTTGTTTGTATTTAAATTTTGCGAATTCGAATAGTCTTATACGAATTAGAATCCCGAATCGAGCATAAATTATTCGATTCGTATACAAGCCTAGTGTACACGAATGCGTAACCTGATATGTACAAATTGCAAAATTATAAAATCTTTATAAAATGATTGAGACACTCATGTTTTACGTATTACTTCCTCCCTCTTGCTAAGATTGTTTCATCGTTCATTTTCGGTCCGTCTCACTAATATTGTCTCATACCAAATATGGTAAAATTTGTGCGGTTTTAAATCATTCTTACTAGGGGTGGTCACGTCCGGGTCGGTCAGAGTAATTGATAAATTTTCAAGAACCGCCGGTTCCATTTAACGGGTAGGTTCGGTCCGGGTATACCAAGTTTCGAAATAGGAACCGAACCTTACCCGCCCCGTTTGAAACGGGCCGGTTCGGTCTGAATCCTCGTTTCTTCTTTTGTAAAAAAAATACGACAGTGCAACCAAAATTTCTAGTAAGTTATAAAATTCTCAAATTAATTACCTATTAATGTAACCAAATATAATAAAAATTCAAAATATAAGTAAAATACAAAACTTTAAATTCGTTAACAAAATATCGAACCGCAATCTATAAATTAAACAACACACAACCACCTTAATCAAAATGATAATCATCATTCATAAACTAATTAAAAAGATAGCACCATAAATTCATAAGAAATTAAGCTAGTTACTATATATATATTTGTCTATGAAAATAATTTAAAGCTTATTAAATCTCCAAGTATAAGTAAAATTAAGATAATTAAATGAATATGTCACACTTCATTGATTAAGAGTCTTTGTTTACAAAAATATTAAAGAAAGAAAGTTTGATGCATTTGGATCAGAGAATAGAGGAAAATTATTCAGGAGTTTAATTATACGGACTTGGAAATTATTTTTAGTAGAGTGCAAAGTTTCTTTAATTGGAAGTTTTTGTCTAGACACAAGAACATAAAGAGCTTTCGTGTCTTGTTAGTATATTATATTATACTAATATTAAATATAATAGAGATTATTAAAATAATATTTTAAAACGGTTCGGTCCGGATACCCGTTTTTCAGATTTTAGGACCCGTTCGGTTCCTAAGTTTTTGAGGACTCGTCCCGCCCCGAACCGTTTGGTTTTCTAAAATTAGGACCCGACCCTAACCCACCCCAAACCTATATTACCCGACCCGACCCGCGGTTCTAGTACCCGTTTGCTTACCCCTAATTCTTACTTCATCAATTGAATATCGATCACATAAACTCATTTTTCTTAATAAGCATCCCAATGTTAGTGGGATAAAGGTAGTACGTAGTAATAGATTTTTATAGAAATTTTATCAATCTGGGACCTGAAAGATAGACGAATTATCAATTCAGGACCTGAAATATGAAATGTATCAGGACTCGAAAGATGAAAAACTATCAATCTAGGACCTAAAATTACATAGGTTTTGATTTATTTAATTTTTTATTAATTCCATTGCTAATATTTGGTGAAATTTTCATCACAAAAGTTTATTAGTTTAATAAAACTAAATACGGAGTATTATTTAAAATTTTCAAAATAAAAATAATAATAAAATTTATGAAAACTTAGGTCCTAAATTGATAGTTTTCAACCATTCAGGTCTTAGATTGATAGTTTTCCATCATTCAGGTCCTATATCGATACATTTCATCTTTCACATCTCGAATTGATAGTTATCTATCTTTCTGGTGCTAGATCTATAAAATTCCATTTTATTAGAATCCTCTCGATTTTTCATTTTTCATAAATTGAGGAATTCAAAATCCATATTGTCACAGACTCACAGTAATCACCCTATCAAAATTCCCGTCAATGACCCCTTTCCTTCGACATTTTGCAGTTTCACAACATCCATGGAAGTGTGCGCAGGAGCTCGACGCCTACCATTACCGCCTGAGAAACGCGACATTGAAAAGATTAAGCAAAAGCTCCTCCAAAGCGGTGTCGCCCCAACTCCCAAAATCATACACAATATCTGCAAAAAACGCCTCCAGAAAGTCAACCGTCGGCAGGCCAAACAGGCCGCTAAGGAACCACGGCCTCTTACTGATGCCCAGAAAGAAACCCTGGCGGAAGAGTTTCACTTCCAGGCCATAAAATCTGAGTACAAAAGCTTCGAAAGATCTCTAAACGCGAAAAATGAGGGGAAACTCATAGGACGGCCGTGGGAGAGACTTCACAAGCTTCAAATGCAAGAACTTTCAAGTGAAAAAATGCAGTATTCTGGGGACAAGTTCAGTGCTCAGCCTTTGAGGGAGCTTCGTGACATAATCGAGTGCGAAAGGGAGAAGTACAGGTGGATTCTGGATGACGATGTCCAGATTGAAGATGGGTGGTCTGATTATAAAAGCTCAAATTGGGAACCACCGAAGCTCCGAGGGGGCGAATCTGGGGCAATACGGTTTGTCATTGACAAGTATGTATACCTATAATGTTTCTAATGTTTCCAATAATTATGCATGATAAGTAAATTTGGTCATACAGAGTATTTGGTTCTCTATAGATGTTAATTGCTTTCTGTGTATGTTGTAGATTGAGCGGTACAAAAATGATTGCCAAGAATTATAAGTTTTTGCGGGTTATGAAACACTCTGGGTTGCAGTTTACAGAACGTCAGATGCTGAAGTTAGTGGAAGGTCTTGGGGATAGAGGAGAGTGGAGGCATGCATTGTCTGTTGTTGAATGGGTTTATAACTTGAAGGAGCATAAACACTACAGAAGCAGGTTCCACTTGTATTGATTTCTATTTGGTGCTAGACCAAATTTATTGTTCTACCATTTAAAAAGTAATAATTCAATCTTTTAACGGTCTTCTTACAATAGTTCCACCTAACGTAATTCATGAATAATACAACCTGTTCACCCTATCTTCGTTCGCTGTTCCCTGATCGGTCGATGATCTGTTATTCCTGATTATTTTCTATTCTTTTCAAAACATTAAACCATAAATTCCACCTTCACAAATCTTCTCAATCTTTTAACGGTCTTCTTACAATAGTTCCACCGTAATTCATGAATAATCCAACTTGTTCACCCTATCTTCGTTCGCTGTTCCCTGACCGGTTGATGATCTGCTATTCCTGATTATTTTCTATTCTTTTCAAAACATTAAACCATAAATTCCACCTTCACAAATCTTCTCCAAGCGGTCCCACATATCATTTTTCTTCTTTCTCCCTAAAACTTTTCCCTTTTTATTTTTATTGTCTCGACTCTTTTATTCTCCTTTTTCTTCTCCAAGCGGTCCCACAAATCTTATTTTTACTTCTTTTTTATGTTTATATATTCCATTTTTCCTTCTTTTTTCCCTCCGTTTATTATTTCATTTTCGTTTTTATATATTTTTTCACATTAGTTCCCTTCTTATAAAAGATCTTTTTCTCATCGTACTAATTTTTTACTTTACTTTCTTTTTATTTACACTTATTTATTTCCTTTTGCCGTTTCTTACCTTGATTTCACCACTAATATAATTTTTGGAAAAATAGTCCCAAAATAGGACTAAACTAATCTCTAAATGCACAAATAGGACTATGTTATTTATCTTCCCAAAATAGGACTAAAGTACACTCTATCTTCTTATTCTACCCTTATCATAACTTAATAGGATAATCATATTTTGCATTATAACAAAAACGAAAAATAATCAAAAATATTTCAATTTATAACAATACAGTCCAAAAATATAAAAAGACTTAAAAGTATTTTTAATAAATAATAAAAGAATAAATAGTAGTAAAAAAATTAAAAAAAAACTTTAAAAAATAAATAAGAAATAGACAAACACGTTAAAAAATATAAAATAATTTGGAGGCCTTTCCCGCACCCTCGGCCATCTCCCAGCAATGCCAACTCCGATCGACGAAAAATTTTTATTTTGTGTAAACACTGCAATTTTTTATCTCAAAATTCCAATTATTGCATTTTTACTCTTTGAAATTGTCAAAGTTTTCTCGAAAACTACCATCAAGATGGCATAACTGACTCATGTTGGCACTTTTTGTCAGTGGTCGGAGCTGGTGGTGCTGAGAGGTTGTTGAAGCAGCAACAGAGGCCTGAATATTATTTTTACCTTTTTATTTTTATATTTTTTAATTTTATAATTTTTATTTTTCTAATGTTTTAGCTTTATTAATTTTATTTAATATTTATTTTTGTGTTTTTTATGTTTCTACATTTTTATTACAAATAAAGTTATGTTATTACTTTTATGTTTTAATTATTATTTATTAATGAAATATGAGTTGCACTAAAACAAAGCAAGGGTACAATTGGAAAGCTAGTCCTATTTAGGGAATTTTGAAGTTATATTGATATTCTTGCAATTAAAGTTTCATTAAGTCCTATTTGGGGAATTTTCTATATATTTTTCTCTTTTCCTAATAAAAGAAAAAATATAAACAAGTAGCCCGGAAAAAATTATAAAAAGAGGGGAAATTACCCTAAATAAGACTACAAATGTTTGTATAATCCAAAATAGGACTATCATGTTTTTATTCCCAATATAAGACTAATTACTGCCATGTTTTGGCAGTACCAGACTTTAAACATGGCAATATTTTTCAAACTTGGAACTAATTACTCCTATTTTGGGAATAAAAACATGACAGTTCTATTTTGGAAAATTCAAACTTTTTTACTCCTATTTCGGGAATCCCTAAAAAAAGACTACAACAAATAGGAATACATAAAAAGGAATGAAAAAGTTTAGGAAAAAAAAATAATAATCTTATGTGGGACCGTTTTGAGAAGATTTGTAGATGGTGGGATTTATGGTTTGTTAATTTGAAAAGAAAATGAAAAAAAACTGGAATAGCAGCTCATCAACCGGTCAGGGACCAGCGAATGAAGATGGGGTGAAAAGGTTGAATTATTCCTGAGTTACGATTAAGTGGGACTATTGTAAGAAGACCGCTAAAAGGTTGGATTATTAGTTTCCACTTTCCCTAAAATGAAAAGATAAACATATTTTTTTCTTAGGTTTGTTTATACAAAGCTCTTGGCAGTTCTTGGAAAATCTATGAGGCCTCATGAAGCTCTTGGAGTGTTCAACTTGATGAGAGTAATTACCAAACTATGGTGCTTGTGGTCTCTCTGAATTAAGTATGACTCTGTATATAATATGACCAATGATGATAAATTCAAAGGATTTTCTGCATGTAGGGGGATGCCAGAATATACCCAGACATGGCTGCCTACCATAGTTTGTGTGTTATACTTGGCCAAGCTGGTCTTCTAAAAGAGTTGATCAGCATTATTGACTGCATGAAGGAAAAACCCAAGAAAATTCAAAATATGAGACACAAAGATTGGGACCCTGCCATTCTACCAGACATTGTCATATATAATGCTGTAGGTGACCGAATTCTATCATGCCAGTACTCTGATATAAACTCTGCAATCTACTTATTGGTGTGATTGCCTTTATCAATTTGGCTGGCTAGGTTTTAAACGCTTGTGTTCCATCTCGCCAATGGAGAGGAGTACATTGGGTCTTTCAACAGCTAAGGAAGAATGCCTTGAAACCCAATGGTGCAACCTATGGACTTGCGATGGAGGTAATTATTGGCCTAGTTGTATACAATTATTGTGAGATATGGTATTCTAAAAATATAAGTATATATATGTCATATATTTATTCATTTATGTTTATATTTTGAAATAAACTGCAGATTATTTGTCAAGAGCGTAATTTTAATTGGACAAATAAGCAGGGCTACTTAATAAAACATGTTTTACTGCATCATCATCATTGGCTGTATTCCAACTATGTTAGGGGGGTTTACATATAATTTTAGTGTCAAATTGTCAATAAATAGGCCAAAGTTAGTTTACAACTTGACACTATCAATTCATGCAAAAAAGCACAGTGATGATGTTTTTGCAAGATGCCCTTCCTATCCAAATGATCTTACGAATAGTTAGATGAAATTCAATAATGTCTATCATCGAACTTTTTCCAACATGCATGGAATTTGGAAAACATCATATGACTGCCATCATATAACCTAGTACGATAAAGCATTTAAGAGCCTTTTTTTTAATTTCTTTTTTTCTCCTCATATTATCATTTCAAACTTTCATGGGTTTTGTATATTTTTATTCATATTAAGCACTCAAAAAGGTACAGGATAAATATATAAAATTGCAGGGTTGGGTTGTCCACCAAAAGAATGTTCTGCATTTATAGCCAAGGCACTTCAGTTATATCATCAAGCTGCATTTGCATTGTAAGGTGATATTTTCAACATTAAAGGCAAATTTTTGTTGAAAGGTGATGTTGAGATCTAGGAAGTATGACCTTGTGCATGAATTCTTTGAGAAAATGAAAGCAAGTGGGGTTGCTGTCAAGGCAATTACATACAAAGGTATTATATATCCCTAAACATGTTACAATGCTATAAGCTTTTGTGTTGTAGCTCAGCATTTGCTTTCTTAAATTTAGTTCTTGTCAAAGCCTTCTGGGAAGAAGGCAAGGCCAATGAAGCCATTCATGCTGTTAGGGAGATGGAACAAAGGGGAGTTATTGGAACTCCTTGTGTGTATTATGAACTAGCTTGCTGCCTTTGCTATCATGGAAAGTTGGAAGGTGCCTTTTTCGAGGTAAGTTTTAAAGTTTGTTCCAAGTTACCAGTGACCAATTGTTTGTATGAAATCTTTGAAGTAAATTGTGAATCACTCAAAAGTCAAATCGCAAAACGCATATGGAAGATGTTATCATCATCCTTCAATAGACAAGGCTTCCATAAATCCTGATCAGTTTCATAGCCAATTCACTTTTGTTGTTATGGGAAAGATTAAGCGGGTTCTATCTCACTAGCTCGGCAGACTCAGATCTACACACAGAGATGGGCCATAGTGAAATTTATAGCAATTCTTACCCATTAATTTATAAGGTGCCCAATTATATTTTAGTTTTTTAGCAAGACCATTTGACTGTGGAAATGCTTGGCACCTCAAGTTACTCCCTTTCAACCAAGTTTCACTCAGATGGAGATGAGAACGTACACAGGCAGGGACATAAGCATCAGTTTTTAATATTTCATTACATGGATACTGCAATGATAGGGTAAGATGTAATGACTAAAAAATAAAAAAAGATGAACATATATATAAAATATAACAATTCATCATCATCATCATCATCATCATCATCACCCCAGTGCCTCAAAGGCTCCCACACCTTCGGTGGGGTAAGGGGGGTCGGATGTACGGAGTCTTACCCCTGTACTAAAGCACAGAGAGTCTGTTTCCGGATGACCCACAGTGAAAATCGTGTCCAAAATTGCATGGACTGACTGCTGCCTCATAACAAAGAAGCGCAAACAGTTTAGTAAGCCATTTTGCTTCATAAAATATAACAATTAATCAGAAAAAATGAGAATCTGACTAAAATAATGTTCTGTATTAAAGCACCAAACGTCAAGGAATAATGTAGTTGGAACTCTAAAGAATCTGAATACGATGGTGTATCAATTGCACACCAAATCTGATTACTTGCACACTGAATCTGTGAGCTCAGTTACACACCAAATCCGTGTGATTTCAATTACATGACAAACCTGTGAGCTCAATTACACATTAAATCTGTTCTTTTGTATATAAACATGAGCCATAAAGAAGTTCATTGTCTCACTTACTGTTTTGTAATTTGTATAAATACTACTTCACCCGTTCCTATTTTATCTTCTCTGTGTGTCTTTGCACAGACTATAATAAAATAAAATTTAGTTGTTGAGATTTATTTAGAAATAAAGTAATCAATATGACTCGCACAATTCTTTCCTTGAAAGGAAATATGAAGATTATTTAGGGGGTGACTCAAAAAGGAGATAGGTAAAATAAAAGGGGGGTACATCTGGAGTAATAAATCTGATGGAGCAAAAATTACACTAAAATAAAAATTACTCACTTACAATGGCAAGATGGCAATTGATGAGGGCTAGGTAGTGGAACCAACATCTAACGAGGAAGAAGCAGCAAAACCGGATTACGGTCTAGCCGTTCAGAGAAGTCAAAGAGTTTTGTGTGTATAATTTAACACAGAACGATAAATGAATTAGACCTTAGTTTTGCTACCTATAAACACTGGGAACCATGGAGGGGGGGGGGGGGGGTGCAAGGGCGAACTTTGGGGGTGGTCTGGGTTCTGGTCGGATGATTGGCCAATGTTCACCCCTGAAAAAAAGTTTGAAACGATTCACAGTGCTACCACACTGAACAACCAATTTGCACTGATTTATACCTTAGTTTTGACGTTCCCTCGCCACTGATATGCCAAAACCTTTGGCTTCTCTGAGTGGTAGGAGTCTGAATCCGCTCTGTTACTTCCTCCTCGTCAGGTTTTGGTTGCCGCTGCTCGCTCTCACTTGTTGCCAACATGCCGTCGTGGGTGAATAATTTTTTGATGTTATTGTTTGCTTACTTTTATGATTATTTATTTGAAATGTTGATGCACTGAAACCCCCTTTCTTATATATATACTATACAGTAAAATAAATTTGGTTGATATCCGAGCTCACAGAATTGGTGTGCAATTGATATATGAGTTTACACAATTTTTATACATTAAACTAAGTCGTTGATTTAGATTTTCGTGGACGTTGTAGCTTGAAATTGACACTTTTAAAACTATACTGGTTACATGAATTCGGTTTTTTATTTTCTAACAAATTCAGAAATTTTAACATTATGTTGATAATTTTTTTATTCTTTATTTCTGTTGATAGGAATTTTACCCTTTGGTTTCTAAATTTATATAGAGTTGGGGGGGAAGCAACTATCTCCCACTCGAGTGATTGATTCCTAAGCCTTTGTTTTTCATCCACATGCCATGGAAAATTGGTGACAATCTTACAAACTGTAATTCTTTGAAAACATTTCTACAGATTAAAAAACTAAGAAGCCTTGGTTGGACTAGACCTTTGGCAGTTACCTTCACTGGGATGATATTGTCTTCAATGGACGGTGGACATATTCACAATTGCATAACCATATATGAGCACTCCAAAAAACACTGCAAAATGGACACTGGAATCATAAATGCCATGCTGAAAGTGTATGGTCGTAATGATATGTTTCTTGAAGCCAAGGAATTGTATGAGTTGACAAAGAAAGTAGACACCAGTTCTGAAATTAGTATCAGTCCAGATATATACACTTTCAGTTCCATGCTTGAGGCATCTGCTCATTCTCTCCAATGGGAATATTTTGACAATGTTTACAAGGAGATGACCCTTGTTGGACATCAGCTTGATACAAAAAAACATGCACACCTGCTGGTGGATGCATCAAAAGCTGGGAAGGTACAATTACTTTAGCATATATGTTTACATCTGATAGAGAGCAGGGAGAACAGGGGGGAGGGGCGGAGGAAGGGGATCCGAGCCCCAAGCCCTTGCTGGTCTACCTTAGGTGGGGACGGGCTTGAGCCCACCTTTGTGGGCCGGCTTTAGCTATTTTAATTAGCTTCAATTAATTCCTTTAGTTATTTCCTTCTATTATGTTTCCTATTCTATTTATGTTTCCTGGTATGGTTTAATTAGGACTTCTACCTTAATTGTGACTAGTGGGCTATTTAAACCCCTAGCTAGGTTTATTCGAACCATTCATTAATCAATAATATTGGAGTTTTAGCTTTAAGCTAGGGCAACGGTTGCTACCGTTGATTGTTTTATTTCTGCTCTCATCAACATCCTTGCTCTTAACGATGGGCGAAAAATAAAAAAGACAAATTAAAACCGACCAAAACATAACCAACCAAAACCGATAAAGACTGACCAAACCACATGCAGTCTGGTTTAGGGGTTAAGGTTTGACCGTAACATGCTTAAACTAACTGAATCCTACATCAACCAACTGAAATTGACCCAAATCAACTTTACAACTTGAGTTGTGGTTCAGTTTACAGTTTTGCATTTCCCAAAACCGAAACAACCAAAATGAGAACCAACTGAAACTGTCTTAAGTTGCTCCGTTCGGTTTTCAGTTTTGCATTTCCCAAAACTAAACCAACCAATCTGAAGATCGAACCCGTGAACACCCTTGCATCGAAACTAAAAAGAAAAACATACACATTATAGATACATGGTCTATTGCTAAGAGCCTTGAGATATTTATTACTCTTTTTATTTTTCAGAAACTGTTGATGATTAGGGTGAGATCTGCTGCCTGTGTTGCACCCTTCTAACATACATTCTTGATCCAGGGGCATTTACTTGATCATGCATTTCACACAATTTTAGAAGCTGGTGAGGTGCCTCCTCTCTCATTTTTCACTGAGATCTTATGCAGTGCAATCTCGCAGCCTAATCATGAAAGAGCTGTCACCATGGTCAACATGCTTGCTGTTGCACCTTACCAAATCACTGAACATGAGTGGATTGAGTTCTTCGAAGGCAACCAGGACCGGGTAAAGAATTATCATTTCCAAAAATGGTTGGAAATGCTCTGCACAGAGGGCTCGAGAAATGAAGCTACCATTGTAAATTTGTCTAGAGCATTACAATCTCTCTTGGGGGATAGTGGTTCAAACAACTTGAATTCTGGAGGTGGTAATGATCTAAAATCTGGCAAGGGGGGAGGTGTTACAGATTTGATATTCGATGATGAGTTTGATGAGTTTAATTTGGAATCGGTGACCACAGAGGAAGAAGATTTGTATGAATCGGGGATGCCATCAACTTATGAGATATTGCAGTCATGGAAAGAAATGGAGGAAACACGGTAGCATTTTTCTTCTAGTTCATATAAGCGACCAGTGAACTTGCTCCTTTCCCTAATGATGCGACGAGATAAAGAAAGTTCAAGGTTTTGGTCTAAGGTCAGCAAAGTTCCCTGCAACCCTCTGGCCAGATTCTATTTTTTACACCATATCATGCTTCTCGTGTGGCTAGCGAGGTTCAATACCAGAAACTCCAGTGCATCATTGACAAGCTTTTCGACCTCATGAAGCTTGAACGGCTGGATTACATCTGCAGGTATAGAATTGCAGTATGCGCCTACGATTCCTCGAGCTCATCATCTTCCTGACATGCGGCCACTAAAATCAATGTGTTGCAGCAGCTCTGTAGGCATGTTTTTCTTAGTGTTTTTGTTTATTTTAATTATTTTTGAAAAGATGGCTAGATTTGTCTCATGCGTGTTTTTCTTAATGTTTTTGTTTATTTTAATTATTTTCGAAAAGATGGTGAGAATTTGTGTCTACTAGCAAATCTTGTTTTTTCTTTCTATATAATCAGAAGCTCATCATTAGATTTACAAATTTTCACCAGTTTACTCCGTTATATGTGCCGCCGGGATAGTGGGATATGAATTTGCTGATGTTAGCATTGCTTGAGCTGAGAGATAGAATTATTGGTGAAATGCTAGCTTGAGATCGAATAAATTTGGGTTATATTTACTTCGCTGCAAAGCATTAGGCTACTCACACAGTTAGAAGTAAACATGTTACATGGGTAAAAACATGCTTACTTCCCAAATCCCATATATTATTCTTACGGTGTTTTGAACTTTTGACTAGGGGTGGACCGGTTCCGGTTCGGGCCTGGGCCCGGCCGGGCCTCGGTTCAAGAAGGGGAGGCCTGGAACCGGCCCGGGTAACCCCCGGGTCTGGGCCGGGCCTCGGTTCTATTTTTTTTGGCTTTTCCTAGTTAACCTCCAACCCTCCCCCACACCCCCAAACCAACCCTAACCACCTCAAATGCCCCAAAATGCCCAGCCCAACCCAAAAACTTAAAAAAAATTCAAAAAAAAATGGCCCGAACCGGCCGGGCCGGTTCACCTTTTGAAGGGCCCGAGCCCGAACCGCCATCCCCCCGGGCCGGTTGGTCCGAACCGAGCCCGGAACCGGTTCACCGGTCCAGGCCGGGCCCGCACAGTAGCGGGCCGGTTCGGTTCCGGGCTGGTTGGCCCGGCCCGAGTCCACCCCTACTTTTGACTGTCACCATCCTAGTATCCTACCCTTCTGTTCAACGGGCATCCAAATCCTCTCACAACTTCAAATCTTCAATTAGATGTCACCATCGGGCTAGAAGTTGCCACCGCCACAGGTAGGGATGGGCCGGGGCAGGTCAGCCCGACCTGACCCAGTACTGTCTAGGCCTGACCCGATCCGGTCAGCCGGTACCGAGAATGGTGGCCTGAACCGGGGGAGATTAGGGTGGGCTACGGGTTGATGAAATGGTGGACCGGTCCAGGCCCAATTTATTTTTTAATTTTTCCCCCATCGATTGGCTGCTAGGTGGGTGGGGTTGGGTGATTTGAGGGATGGGTTTGGGGGGGTTTGGGGTAGGAATAACTTTGAAAAGAAAAATTTAAAAACAAAAAATTGGACCCGACCCGTCCTGGTCCTGGTACAAACTCAGGCCGGTACCGGACACACAACCCAAATTTTTAGTCTCGTCGAATCCCGGCCCTGGACCCGATCCGGTGTCGGACCACCCCTAGCCAAAGGTACCACCCGTCGCCACTGTCATCTATCACCATCGATCATAAGCTACTACCAGTGACATTACTGACATTGCATGTTCTCTCTAGGGTTAGCCGCCACCAACACCACTGTTGCCTGTTGGTCACCATTGGACATAAAGGAAATATATGTAACTTGCTACATAAGACTTTGATTTTGGCGGTGTTCGGTAGGTTATTTCAGCCAATAATGGGCTGAAATAAGTGAACTCCAGTCAATTATTATACAAGTAACGATGTTCGGGTAAAAGGCTGAATTGGGCTTTAACTGAAAACAACTAACTGAATTAAAACGCTTATGGAGGAAGCGTTTACATTCAGCCGATCTCTCTTTCCCATATTGGCCTCTACTCAGCACTCATCCACCTATGTTTGAAATTATTTACACGAATTTCTCGAACACGTCTTACCACCGTTTCTCTGGAAAAATTGGTGCATTGATGACCTAATGCCATATTTTTAATAAATATCATAAATTTATGCATATGTGTGCAATCATTTATAAATAATGGAACGGATGTAGCAAATGGGGTTTAATTTCTTTTATTTATACGCACACATATATTGATATATATGTATACAGAAAAGATCAGGTGAGAAGTTTCCTTAAAATGAGAAGTGAGAAATAATCTCAGCCCTTGGATTTGCATGTGATCTTGCAACACAGTAAATTTATAGACTGAATATAGTAACTTATAACCAATAAATCATAACTTATAAAGCTCTCCATCATAATTATGAAAATGACATCGCGTCCAAAAAAATTCAAGGTTTCCAGGCTTATTTTTTTGCGGTGGCATTTTCGTAATTATTTCCGACGGAGTCTATTAGTTATGATTTATTGGTTAAAAGTTTGTGTTTTTAGTCTATTAGTTAAATTTCGCAGTTCTCATCATAAGAGCACTTCTCACCTGATCCGCTCCCTATATGTGTGTGTGTGTGTGTGTATATATATATATATATATATATATATATATATATATATATATATATATATATATATATATATATATATATATATATATATATATATATATATATATATATATATATATATATATAAACACTAAAATTTTGATAATAATTAAAATTTGAATATCATTAAAATAAATATTTTGTTCTACTTCGTACTCCCTCCGTCCTGTTAGAAGGTTCCCGTCCACTATTCTCATGGTCAATTTAAATCATTTTTAATCTTTTACTTTATAAATCAAATTTTTGCCAAATTTACATTTTTTTTCAGGCTTTGTAGCGGTTTTAATGTAGTTTCTGAATATGTTAATTTTATTTACTAAAAATAAACAGATTGTGAACAGGGATTAAGTTGCTTTATCGATAGTCAAGCATCGTAAACCGTTCACGGGAACCTTCTAGCGGGACTGAGGGAGTATTAGTTAATGCAGTATACCCATTAACGTCATTTCATGTTATTCAGCTATTATTTCAGTTCTTTTTGCCAAACGAGTCTACACATTCATCTAGCATTTCAAATTCAGTTTCAGACAATAGTCTTTCATCCAGACAATAGCTCGTAATTCAGACATTAGTCTCCAACTTCAGCTCGTTGTGCCAAACATAACGTTAATGTTTGTGAAGTAATTTCATCATTGTCATTGCAATGTTAACTATGTAATATATGTACAAAGCGTATGAACACCTCGCACATTAATGAGTACAACTCAATTATCCATCATTAGCTGGACACAATATCTATATTGAAGTTCTTTTTCTTAAATTTTAAATTTCCGTTAATTCGTTTTTGTTATCTGTTTTTATATTTCAAATCTAAAATCATAACAATTTATAATGTTAAAAATATCCGAATAATCTTTATTAAGACCAGATCTTATTTAAATGTTTTTCGAATAGGATATTCACTTATTGAGCTGAGAGTCCGTTTGGTAATACCTAAATAGTAGGTGTATGATTATATTGAAATTTATGAAGTTATTGCTAACCTGACTAATTCCGTTGATTTAAATAGCTAAAATGATCATCTACGGTAACTTCAATAAATACAAAAAAAGTAACTTCAGCCTTACTTTTAATCTTATTGACACACAATTCAGCGTGCGAAATAAAAAGTTATGTATTTGATGAAAAAGTTGATCAATAAACCAAATAAGCCCGAAAATAGGGTCACCAAACCATTTTGAGGCTATGTTTGGCAGGCATAAATCTCTGCTTTCCAGCTTTAGTAATATTGAATGTTTCTGTGGTCCGTGCATGAATGCTAATAGTGGAACCATCCAAACGTTTCCAATACATTGTTATTACTCCATAGTATTTTTCAAATATGACGTGTTTAAAATTAAATCATAACAATTTTTTAGAACCGATCTTAATTTGTGAGTCAAAAACATTAACAAGCACCATACATTTATTTTTCTTATTACTTTTTGGTACCAATATAATCTTAGTTTCTTATTGTGCTCTGTTTGTTGTTAATTTTTTCTTTCATGATCTACTAATGACATGCCGATTTCACGTATAAAACAAAATGACTTATAGAGTTATAGTTCATATATAAGTTCAGGTGAATTACTTCTTTTCATTAGAAAGTATTCGATTTATAAACTATAAATTAAAGTTTTAATACACAAAAAAAGTTAGAGCATTAACAAGTTAACAACAATTCTAAAAAATACTACGTATTCAATTTTCAGTTATGTGGCACACAAAAAATAATACTGTAGTGTTGTCTGACAAATACACTTTTTTGAGTTATTGTTTTATACTTTTATCATCTCCCACACTTATGCATTTTATACTTAAGTATTTTCAAATGGCTTTCATGTCTGCACACATATATACACTTATCGTTTTTCATGAGAAATCGGCATGGCATTACTAACTTTCATATGTCGCATGCACGTATATAAATTCTCCATCCTACTTTGGGACGTTGAGTATAATATAACTCAAATATACTAGCTAAAATAAATGGACATAGATAAAGACTACTAATTATTCCAAATAACAAAGATGAAAAAATTTAGAAGTACTACGGAGTAGTTTTTTAAAATCGATGAAATCTTAAAAAAGGAAATCAATTTCTCTTTTCATTATAAAGTTTTCATGTATACATTATAAATTGTTACTCACATGAACGTAGCTCAGCTCAACTGGTAGCAAGGGAGCGCCACAAGAGTTAGTTCTCGAGTTCGAATTCCGGTAACTGCGATGAGAGATTACTATGCTAAACATGCATAGGGCTTCTGCAAGTATCGAGGACAGAGACTCACTCTCTATATGTCAGATTGAGATTATAGTCCAATTTACATCCTCCCAACGTACCGTCCGGTCGGGGTTGGAGGCCCTCAGGGATGGGGTGTATCTTTTTTATATATAAATTGTTACTCGGTAATATTCTAAAAACGTTAGAGCATTAACAACAATTCTACAAATTATACGTAGTACAATTTTCAGATATGTATGTTACACAAAAAATGTTTTTATAAGTTTTTTAGTAGTGACTAGTGTTGGGTTCTCTAATTACATTACCTTCCAAAAAACAATTGAAGTTTAAGTGAACTTAAGATACGGATTATGCTTTTCTTTAATAAAGATGTTTTGGTTTCAATGTTTCATACTATTAAATTTGCTTTTAAAATTAGAAACAGTATTCCTCAATTAAAAAAAATACTCCCTCCATCCCAAAATAATTGTCCTACTTTGACCTTCACACAGATTAAGAAAATGAATATGTTTTCACACTGTAACGACACTGTTTGATACTGTAGCGACACCGTTTGGCACTGTAGCGATACTGTTCGGCACTGTTTTGCACTGTTTGACACTGTTTTGTATAGATTTGTTTACCAAATAAGGAAAGTTTCAAAGTAGGACAATTATTTTTGGACATCTATTTTGGGAAAACAGGGCATTTATTTTGGGAGGAGGGAGTATTGTGGAAACGTGCTTTGACAAATTATGCTCCCTCCCTATCTATTTACGTGTCACATTTCCCCCTTTTGGTGTATCAAATTAATTGATTTTTCCCCTTTTAGAAAGAATCTCACTCAAAAAGCAGCTACAGTATCACTGCAGTATCGCTACAGTACCGCTATGGTACAAAAAACCTCTTACTTTTTATAAAGTTTACATTAATTACCTCAAACTACCCTAAAAAGCAAATAGTCATCTAATTAGATAAAAGGAGAAATTATTACGATAGTATTAGCCCCCTGAGGTCATATCATAACTATTAATGCAACCTTACATTTTCAAAAATCAATTACTTTCCCCCTAAGTTTTGATCATTCTCACTATATACCCCCTCACGTTAATATTTGTTAAATTAAAATTAATATACCTCTTAAGTTCAATGAAAGTTGTATTTAAAATTAATTTTTAAAAATATAAAACAATTTATCATCATAATTATAAGTCATTGTTGATGATCATTTGTTTTCTACTTAACTACTCGATCGTGGAGTAACAATTAATGAGAGTAGTTAAGGGGAAGATTCACGAGTCATATTAAGGGGATACATAAAAAGAATTGTTTATACATTTCTTCATTATGAATATAGAGGTCTTATTTGTAATTCATTCGGTTGAATTAATCGCAATGACATTTCTTTCGTGTGTAGCAAAGAAGAAATACTAAGATTTTGTTATCATACCATGACCTAAAATATAGGTTTAATATCAATAAGGGACCTAAAAACAAAATGTGTGATGATTATTCCAATTATTGCATGATCTGAATAATTGAAAGCAGTCAATATAAGACCTAATTTGTGTTTTAAATTTTTATTAACTACGATCAACAACAATAACTTATAATTAAGATACTAATTTGTGTTTTACATTAAAAATTAATTTTATAGATATTTTAAATTGAATTTAAGAATTATATTAAATTTAAATTTAACAAATATTAACGTGAGGGGGTAAAGAACGAGAATGATCCAAACTGAGGGGGTAAGTAATTGATTTTTTAAAATGCAAGGTTGCATTAGTAATTATGATATAACCTCAGGGGGTTAATAGTTAATTTCCCTAGATAAAAAAAGGATGACACCCATCCCTGATGGCCTCCAAACCGACTGAACCGTACCTTTGGAGGATGTAAATTGAACCATAATTCCAATCTGACAAATAGAGAGTGATACTTTGTACCCGAAAGAGACTCACTCATCTAATTAGATGGAGGGAGGACTTATTAAAAATTAAAAAAAAATGAAATGTGCGAGTGATCAGCTTTTTCACTCTGAGCTGAGCGTTGATGGGGTCAGCCGAGAACAACTGTAACAAACCTAATCGTCGGAAAATCTGAAAACAAACGCCGGAGGGATCCTGCTCGCGCCCGACATGGAATTGTGCCCTTGTTTGTCGCGCCGTGCTTAATAGGTCTTCTGCATTATTAAGCATCATAGGAGGCAAGTTCTATTGTGCATTTATTATTTCGTTGCTTAAGAGTAGATTCTTTTCCAATGGCACGAAAACGGATGAAACCCAATGAAGCTCCGCTAAACCGAACCTTGTGTTGGCGTGAGGAACTGGCAGAGAGAAGTCAAAAGCTCTCTTCAGTTTTAGATTACAGCGATCCCTATTGCATGTCTAATTTATGGCATAGCATGGACTGTGGGAAGTACGGGAGTGTGACAAAAGAGATTGAAGAGCTTTTGTGTCAAAGCAGAAACTACATTCACTCATGCTATGCAAGGGATCCTTCACTTGCCAGTAAAATCATTGAGCTGGAAAACAATTTCACCACAGAGGGTAGGGGAGGCCAAGATGGTACTGGTGTAATAGATTTGGAGGATGATCATGGTGCTGGGAATGTTCCAATTGCTCGCTTTGTGCCTCCTGCTCAGCTTGTCCCTTCAGCTGGCCCTCTTGTTATCATTGATTCAGATGATGAAGACACCCTGACGCTTAATTGCACGTTCCAAGGAATACATAATGAGGTAAGTATGTTAAAAAAATATATTAATCTATGTAACTTTTTCACATAAGATAAATGGGCAAAGCAAGCAATTTGTATTATATCTCATTTTATATTCTTTCGGATTGCTATAAGCATATGAATAACAGTGGCTTTTTTATTAAGACTTTTGAATGCATTTACTACCTTATCCTCAACTTTTACATGTAGAACCCCCAATTGGAGCATATGAATAACAGTGGGTTCTTTATTAAGACTTGTGAATGCATTTACCACCTTATCCTCAACTTTTACATGTAGAACCCCCAATTGGAGCATGGACCTAAAGCTTTGGCATTAAGGTCTTTTCAGAGTACAGGTAATTGTTTGCTTGACATATTATTTTGTTCCGCAATTGAGGAGGAAATTGAACTAACAGTTAACTTGCACTATGTAGCTTACGTAGATGCTTCTGCTGATGCATTAAATTATGCTAAACATGTAAGTGCTCCTTTGTTGGTTTGATTTTATTCGTTTGAGATGCGTTATTCTCCTCTTTAGTAATCTTTTCCACTTAATATAGCAAAGTGCAGAATGATTTGTGTTATTCTTCCTCGAAATGCCCGAGTTCAAACTTACCGATGAACAAGCATAAAAGGCTCCTGTGCTTGATTTAGCTACTCCATATTTATTTACTTTGCATTATCTTGTTCAATACCATTCTCATTATTTTTGGGGCACATGTATGAACATTCCCTTCTTAATGTTACAACTATCTGATTTAGGGACTGGATTCACCTGGAACCAAGATGCTTATAGAAAGTGAAAATCCTGCTCTTCAAACTGAAAAAAGCAAGGACAAGGGCTCCTACGTTGGCGTAGAGGAAGATTCAGAAACAGAGGATGGAGATGGAGATAATTGTGACGGGTTAGATGATATATGGAATGAAATGTCGTTTGCTATAGAATGCTCAAAGGTACATTAGGTTTATTTCTTATTCAACTATACCAAGAAGTCATCATATCACCCATGAGCTGCATTTGTTCTTGAGTAGTTTATCTCTGTATGCCTTTTCATCCAGTCTTATCTATAATCTATGTAAGTATGTAACTGTATATCACATACATCTTTTATTATTACCATTTACCTTTCTCCATATAATAATCTTGTGTGCATTGCATGTGGCAATAACAGTGTGCACTGTCTTCTATATGTGCTCCATAAATTGATGTTTCCTAATGTCAAATAGGACATGACTGTGGATGCTTCATTAGATGGGGATGCTGATGAAAATGAAGGATGCGATCATTCCTTCATCTTAAAAGAAGATATTGGCTCTGTTTGTCGTATTTGTGGAGTTATTAAGAAAAGCATAGAGAGCATAATTGATTATCAGTACTCAAAGGTGCGATGTTCTCTTATACATATCTTGTTCTCTACTATATCATTCCTTCTAAAGGCTTTTTCAAAGATGGAAGCTGTATGCATCATGTTGATTATTTTTCAAAGTTGCATTATAAAATAAAAGTGCTGTTATCTACTTAGCTTATAGGTTATCTCTACCCTACAAACTGACCTATATAATATCCTCTTGTACAACTGAGTTTTTGTAGACTTGTAGGTCTTCCATAAAATTGAAATTGTCGCTGATGGGCAATTTTCTAAACTAAGCGAGTCTATATTTATTTGAATTGAATGATCAGTATGACTTTTGGACAACTAAATGAGTAGCACTTCTACCGTTTCTCATTATCTATCAATTCGACCATTTATTGGCCCTTGACATTTTCAAATGTGCCAAATGTAGCCTAAAATATCCAAAATATCCCTGTATGAAGTATGGAAGATTTGGTTAAAGATAGGGTTTATCAGAATATTCCAGGCTAAAGTCAATGCATGTGATGATTTGAGAAAGGGAATAAAAGTGATCACATTGATGATAGAAGCCAAATCTGGAAATGCCATTATAAGGATGTTATTTCTGTATGGAACAGTTGTTCACTTTTTCTTGATAGCACATAACTATACCCCAGTTTCTTTATGGTTTCATTTATTTCTTTAATTGATGGTTTTGTTTCAAGTGCCTTGAATGATTTGGGATGAAGGCTTGGTTATTTATGCTTTTACTGCTGGCAATATTTGTTCGAAACTGTATTTAATTGTCATATTGTTGTTTTTGTTGATAAGTGCGAACTATCCTCTCTTTTTTATGTTTTTGCTCTAAACTTGCATCTTTATATTCATCCCGTTTTAGAACCTGAACCTCTTTCACTGCTGACGGGCATTTTCTGTCTGTGTTTTAGACTGTAAAGAGTGCAAGAACTTGTCACTATGAAAGTCGAACAACCAAGGATTCAGGGACTAGTGAGAATTTACCCGAGGTCATCACATCATCTCATGAACTTGCAGTAGCTGATATATGTGCTCATCCAAGGCACAAAAAACAGATGAAACCCCATCAAGTTGAGGGGTTCAATTTTCTACTCAGCAATTTGGTGACTGATAACCCTGGGGGATGCATACTGGCACATGCTCCTGGATCTGGGAAGACTTTTATGATCATAAGCTTCCTGCAAAGTTTCATGGCAAGAGATTCTTCGGCTAGGCCTTTAGTGGTGCTACCTAGAGGAATACTGTCCACGTGGAAGAAAGAGTTTATTAGGTGGCAAGTGGAGGATATCCCACTCTATGATTTCTACTCTGTGAAAGCTGAAAATCGAGCTCAACAGTTGGAAGTTCTAAAGCAATGGTCCGATGAAAGGAGCATTCTATTTCTAGGCTACAAACAATTTTCAGTAATTGTGTGTGACCATGATATAGGCGATGCTTCAAGAGCCTGTCAGCATATTTTGTTGAATCGCCCGTCAATTCTCATTTTGGATGAGGGCCATACTCCAAGGAACCAAGATACTGATGTTTTGACTTCACTGGAAAAGGTGCAGACGCGTCGCAAGGTTGTTTTGTCTGGTACGCTTTATCAAAACCATGTAAAAGAGGTCTTTAACATACTTAACCTTGTTCGTCCGAAGTTTCTGAAGTTGGAAGAGTCTAAGGCTATCAAGAGGCGAATATTGAGCAGAGCATCCATTTCCAACAAAAGAACCATGGTAAAGAAGGGCTCAGATAACGACTTCTTTGAGTTAGTGGAGCACACATTGCTGAAAGATGATAATGTCAAAAGAAAGGCCACAGTTATACAAGATCTAAGAGAGATGACAAGGAAAGTTCTTCATTACTACAAGGGAGACTTTCTGGAAGAACTCCCAGGACTCGTGGACTTCACTGTAATCCTGAAGCTCCATCCTAAGCAGAAGAGTGGAGTGGGTGAATTGAAGAACTTACGAAGAAAGTTCAAAATTAGCGCGGAAGGCAGTGCATTATATGTGCACCCTCAGTTAATGAGTCTCTCCAAACACACTGTTAAAGAAAGGGTTGACGTAGGGAAGATTGATATGATTCTTGATAATTTGGATTCACGCGAGGGAGTAAAGGCCAAGTTCTTCCTAAATCTTCTGGCGTTGTGCGAATCGCACGGAGAAAAACTCTTAGTTTTTAGCCAGTACCTATTACCTCTGAAGTTCCTGGAGAGATTGACCATAAAGGTCAAAGGCTACAGCGTTGGAAGGGAAATTTTCATGATCACTGGAGATTCAGATAACGAGGTGCGTGAATCTTCAATGGAACGGTTCAACACATCTGCAGATGCACATGTTTTCTTTGGCTCAATCAAAGCCTGTGGTGAAGGGATATCGCTTGTGGGCGCATCCCGTATCATAATATTGGATGTACACTTGAACCCTTCAGTGACCCGTCAAGCGATAGGCCGTGCATTCCGGCCCGGTCAGCTAAAGAAAGTGTACACATATAGGTTGGTGGCTTCTGGCACACCAGAGGAGGAAGACCACACGACCTGTTTCCGAAAGGAATCTATAGCAAAAATGTGGTTTGAGTGGAATCAATACTACGGCCTTGACGATTATGAGTTGGAGAAGATGGATCCAAAGCAATGCGAGGATGAGTTTCTGGAAACAGAAAGGTTTTCTGATGACATTGTTGCTCTCTACAAAAGGTAAAAGGCAAGGAATAGACCGGTTAATTTAGCAATGGATTCACATTTCTTGGGCTTTATTGTGTTGCCAGATAAGTGACAATGTGCAGTAATTTGCAGTAATTCGACTGATCATAGATAGGTTGGTTTAAGTTAGGTCCTTCTAACCTTTTGTAGTCTATCGCGCATGTATCTAAGTATGAACAATCAAGTCTCAGGTTAATATGACTACTTTTGAATGGGGGATTCTGTGCTGAACTGTTGATATCTTGAAATAGCTGATTGATTGACCTATACAAAGATATCATTGATATCTTGAATTAGCCGACCCCAAATTCTTTTGGGATTAAGGCTTGGATGTTGTTGTATTGACCTATACAAAGAGTTTAATGATGTCTGGTTTTACCCAAAAATGGAATTCAGTGTATGTACATGACATACAAATCAAGAATCAAAGAACTGAGCTCTATTAGGGTACTAGCGCTGAACTGTGAAATGTACCACTCCCTATTACAGTAAGTATCGCAAGGACATCTATAATACTCCCTCCGTCCCTTATAACTTTGCCAACTTTCTTTTTTTGGATGTCCCATTAACTTTGCCACTTTCCCTTTTAAGTAAAGAATTTGTGGTTCCAGTTAATTCTATCACCTCTGCATAAACCTCAACCACACACTTTTCACTTTATTAATTCTCGTGCCGGTCAAACTTGGCAAAGTTATTAGGGACGGAGGGAGTATGTGTGGGTATATGAATCATGAATATTAGGGATGGACCCGGTCCGGTCCGGTTCCGGTTCCGGTTCCGGGCCAGGCCCAGGCAGGCTTTTTTCTTAGAAACATGGGCCCGGAACCGGCCCGGGGTGATACCGGGTCCGGTCCGGGTTGGGCTACCCGGCCGGGTAGTGGGCCGGTTCGGGCCGGGCCCGGGCTATTTATTTATTTTTGTTTAAATATTAAATTAAGATTACTTGGACATAAAAAAGTTAAAATATATTTATTTGAAATATGTAGTACAATTGAAAATTGAGCAAAAATTAAAACATGAAATACACTTTTTAATAAATAAGAATCAATCGGAATTTCCACCATCTTCGGTTGTTTCTTACATAAAGTGGCGGGTGTTGTTCCTAATTTCTTGAGTTCTACGTTTGGCCTTCAACCAATTGTGGACGCAAACAAACGTCTCAAGAGAGTTTGCGCTCAATCTCGTTCTATAATCCGTTAGGACGTTGCCGGCCGCACTAAACTCGTGTTCCACAGCAACTGTTGATACCAGCATTGCTAGCACTTGTTTAGCCATCTTTGATAAGATCAAGAACGTTCTCTCTTTTTCCTTGCACCACTGAAGAACGTCAAAGTCGTCATCTTCTTCATACTCAACAGGAAATGTTAGATACAAAGAAAGCTCGTTGATCGAGCTTTGTTCATTAACCGGAGTTGATTTACTTTTTTTCATAAGATTGCCAAATGCAGATTTCAAAATTGATTTTCCTTTAGATGAAGAAGATGTTCATGGCGGGGGAGGGGGTGCGTTACCATATTGTGCATGAAACTCATTAAATAATTGATATAATAAATTACTAACCTCTTGGAATTATTGTTTAGGGTCTATGGCCTTGTCGTCGTACATAGGCAATGGACCAAAAAAAGAAGCATAATAGTAATCTAAACATTGCTCCAAAGAAGCAAGTCTAAAACGAGGATCAAGAATAAATACAATACTATATATATATGCGTTATATAGGAATAATATTTTAAAAACTTTTGTTTCATGAAGTCACAAAAATAACTAACGTAAGCGGCATCAGCAAATTCAGAAAAAGCGCCGACGAGATTAACAGCTTCAACAAAAAATTGGTTTGCGGTATGTTTATAAACATGACTAAAAGTTTGAGTTGCATTATTAAAATACACCAAAACATTCACAATTTTTTCAAAGTGTCGATGTCGGCTGGGTTTATAATATAGTTAGCATACTCTTTTAAAAAAGCAGGAAAATGGTTTTTAAATCTAATAAGCACCTTAATTAAGTTATAAGTACTATTCCAACGAATAGACAAATCTTTAGGAAAAGCACAATATTTGACACGTCTTTCTTTCAAATAATTTCTCCATTGCATCTTAAGTTGATTACTAGCCCAAACAAGTTTAACCCCCCTTCACCACCTCCATAGCATCTCCCAACGCTGCTAGCCCGTCCTTTACACATAAATTTAAAATATGACATGTACAACGCTGATGAAAAAACCTACCCATCAAAGAAGATGAACCACACAATTCACACAATCTAGGAATAGCAGCATTATTATTAGTAGCATTATCAAAACCAATAGCAAACACCTTATTAATCAAATTATACTCAATTAAAATACGCTCAATGAGAATATAAATATTATCACCGGTGTGTCGATCATTAAATTTCACGAAAAGCAAGAACACGTTTATGCATACACCAATCATCATCAATATAATGTGCAGTCAAACTCAAATAATATAAATGATGATGAGTATCCTCCCATATATCACTACATATACTAACACGTCCATTAAAGTTTGCGAAAAACGTTTGTAATTTTTGCTTTTCCAAAACATATTGCCTTATAACTTCTTTTTTAATTGTTTTGCGACTATAGTTTCGAAATTGAGGATTTAAAGTACATTGAGCATATTCTTTTAAAGCAAGACTTTCAGAAAAAAAGGCAAATTTTCTTCAACAATTAAATGAGACATACCAGTCAAATGTCTTTGATCATCATAGGAGAAATTCCTAAAGGGTTGGCCAGTTGCAAATCTTGAAATTTGTGTTTGCTTTCCCTTGCCTTTGTCTGATTTCGCATATTCCACCGGGTGCTTGGCCTTAAGATGCCTTGTGGCGCTCCCGTACCCTCCAGAAATTCCCAATTTATACTTTTTGTTGCAATGCTTGCATGTGGCGTACCATATCTCGGTTTCGAGGTCTTTAAGTTTTGTAAAATTGGCCTTAAAGACAGATTCAGATTTCTCACCGCCTTGGGAAGAAGTAGCCACATACCAGTCAAATGTCTTTGATCATCATAGGAGAAATTACCAAAGAGTTGGCCAGTTGTAAACCTTGAAATTTGTGTTTCTTTCCCTTGTCTTTGTCCGATTTCGCATATTCCGCCGGGTGCTTGGCCTTAAGATGCCTTGTGGCGCTCCCGTACCCTTCAAAAATTCCCAACTTATACTTTTTGTTGCAATGCTTGCAAGTTGCGTACCATATCTCGGTTTCGAGGTCTTTAACTTTTGTAAAATTGGCCTTAAAGACATATTCAGATTTCTCACCGCCTTGGGAAGAAGTAGCCACTTCCGCTTGCTCTTCCTCATCGTCCGGTGTGCCATGAACCTCGTCCTCGACCGTTTGCGGACCCCTCTCCTCCGCATCATCATCCTCGAGCTCTTCTTCGTCAATGGTTTGCGGGATGTCTTGTTGATGAAAAAACCTCCTTGATTTTGTTGCAATAGTTGTTCTAGTTGCTCATCGGACATCGCATCCTCATATCTTTGGTTGTAATCCGCATTAAAATCAATTAACTAAAATTCAAACTATTTGTTTTAAAATGTAACAACTTTATTTAACAAGTTTAACAATTAACTAGTTTTATAGGAGAATAATAAATGTAACAATTAACTAGTTTTATAGGAGAATAAGAAATGTAACAATTAACTAGTTTTATAGGAGAATAATAAATGTAACAATTAACTACTATGATAGGAGATTAATAAATGTAACAATTAACTAGTTTTATAGGAGAATAATAAATGCAACAATTAACTAGTTTTATAGGAGAATAATAAATGTAACAATTAACTACTATGATAGGAGATTAATAAATGTAACAATTAACTAGTTTAACAATTAAACAATTAATTTTGAATTAACTAGTTTAACAATTAAACAAACAATTATTGTCTGACAATTTTTAATGTAACTATTTCCAATAAACTAACAACTAACAATTAACTACTTTTATAGCAATGAACTAATACTAAAATGATAAGTGACACAATTAACTAGTTTTATATTAATAAAAAATGTATGAGTGTGTAAACTAAATTAATGGGAGTGTGAGAGTGTATAAGCAATTGGATAAGTAGATAATAAGTGTATAAGTAGATATACTTAATATATATATATTTATAAGTAGATAATAAGTAGATTAACTAGTAATATATAATATTATGTTTATAGTATATATAATATAAGTATATTACTATAAGATGAGTAATACAGTTATATAAAATACTTTAATATATATAAGTATATATTAAGTATATGTAGTACTCCCTCCGTTCCCATTTTATCTTCCGTTTCTCATTGACACACAATTTAAGAAAAGTAGGTATTGTGTGGTGGAGAGTTGTGCAGAGGAGAGAGAAATGTGTAAGAAATGTTGTGAACCACAAATTCTTTACCAAATGGAGAAAGTGGAAGTTTAATTGGAACGGATGAAAAAGGAAAGTTGGAAGATATAATAGGAACGGAGGGAGTATGTAAATATAAGTAAATAACAATAATATAATAATTAGATATTAATATAAGTAGATAATAAGTAGATAATAAATTTTATAAATATAATATATGTAGTTATAAATTTGAGAAGATGAAGATGGAGAAGATTAGTAGAGAATAGAGATTAGAGAGTAGAAATATTTGGAGAAGATGTGTAGTAAATTGTATAGAAAAAATGAAGTATTTATAGATTTTTTGTACCCCAGCCCCCACCTCACCCCCAACCCACCCCGGGACCCCCTGGCAGCCTCCCAACGGCTATAGAGCCGTTTGGGTTTGAATGCAACTGCTATAAGGCCTGTTTGGCTGCCAAAGATTTTTTTTTTTATTTTTAAAAACTAGCCGTTAGGCCCGGACCAGGCCTGAACCTGCCGGGCCGGGTCCCTATTTTCCTGAACCGTGCCCGAACCGCCCTACCCCCTTGGGCCGGTTCAAAACCCGAACCGCCGATAAGTTGTTGGAAAAATGTGTTAAAAATTGCATTAAATGGTCATTTTGGGGCAACTATTTGAGTGGGGTCCACTTCCGATTTTGGTCAGGTCAAAGTGGTTTCAGATTGTCCTTGTTAAGGGCTACAATTCGATATGTGGTACACTCAAAACGGATAACGGGTGAATGAGAAATTGATTCTCGAAGTTCACTCGTTGAAATGGAAAAACTGGGAAAAATGATGAATTTCTAGTGTGTTTTATCCCACGCCGAAAAACTCAAGGGATTTTCACCCCCTTATAAAGGGAAGCCTCTTTTAAGGAGTTAAGATTCCTAAAGGGAAAGGCTCTCTCTTACGCGCAGGGGAGGGGTGCCGATCAAATCCCGAAACGGAGAAGAAAAACCGCGACTCGTGTGCGCGGGCGACCCGCGGACAAGAGATACGGTTAATTTTTGTTTTCTTCCCGAAACGTTTAATTTTTCCCAGAAGTGCTCCGGACAGAAGGCCTCGAACAGAACCCCTCGAAGGGGTGTTCTGTTGGCTTCGGACAGAAACCCTCCAAGGGGTGTTCTGCTGGCTTCGGACAGAACCCCTCCAAGGGGTGTTCTGCTGGCTTCGGACAGAAACCCTCCAAGGGGTGTTCTGTTGGGGTCTTCTGTCGCGCATTTCTTCCGTTACAACAAATAATGCCCAACGTTCTTCTCTTTTAATGCTACGTTAAATGGACAGTTTATGGACGATTCAATGCCCAACGGACTGGTCATTGATGTCCAACGTTCAGGTCCATTAACACCTCATTTAACACACAACAAATCCTCCTATAAATAGCTGGCAGGTGGTTTGCAACAACACAACGCACAATACATTCCTCACGCATTCTTGAGCTAAAAACACCTGCAGCTACTCTGAAAATTCCTTCTGTGTTCTTACTTGGTTCTCGTTCGTTGGAACTCTTGTTTGTGTGCTCAAACACTAGTTCGTAGTCATCGTATCCTGGGAAACGATTGTTGCAACGCTCCTAGCACTGTGGGAGGCAACAAATACGTTTTAAGGACATCGTGCGTAGCACGAGCTTTGACTAATTCTGCTTCATCTCCTTTCTTGTTTTTCTCTACTCATTTTATTTAATTAATTTATTTTAATTAATTTTCTTTATTTTCCGAAACACACCCAACATAAGTTACCCGGGCTGGGTCCACCCGGTTTGGTCCATCAAGCTTGGGCGTGAGGAAGTTGCACTCCCGGACTACCTCAGTCCCTTCGGGTGAAACCCAAGACTGTGGACACCTAATTTTGTAATAGAGCTTGAGAAAACGCTAGCCACTAAGGCACCCTACAAATCAAATCAGATGGTGAATTGCCTCAGAAAAGTGACCCAAATGGGCCAATGGTATCCTTACAGCAAGCAGCTCATATATACCATATTTCAAGCCTAAATCTAAAAAAATTATGCAACAGAGTAGAGATAACGGTGCAACGAATTGAAAGCACACAAAAAACATAAGAAGCGAAGCAAAATTTTTGTGGGCGGTAAAATACTAAGGCGAAAGGTATGAGTCTATGAGACAACACTCACTTCTTTATAAACTATAATCCCTCTTTTCCACCATAAAACTTGACCAACTTGCCCCTAAAAACTTGACATATTGGACTATCACGTGAAATAAGACAATAAAAGTTGTATTGATGATATATTGATATATGTGTAGATAAAAAAGATATAATGTTAATCATAAATCAGTTACTTTAAAGGAAAAATGACTAAAAAAATTGGACAGTTAAATAAACAAAGTTGAAAGAATTAATGGCTTGTGGTGTACTCCCTCCGGTTCTTATTAAAGTTCTCACTTTCCTTTTTGGGATGTCCCTTATTTAAATTCACACTTTCATTTTAAGAAACAAAACAGTGCAAAACAGTGCCAAACTGTGCCAAACAGTATCAAAACAGTGCCAAACAGTGCACTCCACAGTAAAGTCAAATTCATTTTCTTAATATGTGTGAAGTCAAACTGGGAACTTAAATAAGAAACGGAGGAAGTAGTAAATAAGAACAGTCTTTGAGTGGAGAGAGTTTAGTTTTTACACTGTTGTGTATACTGACTTGCGATAGAGAGTTACGTTTAGTGTTCATTTGTAAAAAATTAATTACGTTAGGTACTTAGGGAAGTAACAATTATTGTACATATGGCTGGTCAGTTGTTAGTAAGGCTTCAATGTTTACCATTTACTCCCTCCGTCCCATAAAATAGTTATCGCATTGACTTGTAATTGACTTGTATCGAAGTTTAACAAAGTGTAAATAAAGTGAAAATGTATGGTTGTGGTTGAGTATGAAAAAGCTAAATGAATGTGAGACACACAAAAGTTTCCAAAAAGGGAAATGAGAACTATTTTTTGGGACGGTTCAAAAAGGAAACCGGAAACTATTTAGCGGTGCATTGAGTCTAGTGCTTACCAGTTATTTGCGTTGTTGAGGCGTACATGCATGTAATTGTTAATCTTGTTAGATAGATCACGAGATATTGGGGTGCAGTCTTTGTTCTTAATTTTCCCATTATTGGAACCAACGACCAAGTTTAGTGGAAAACTTAGGAGAGTTTTTAGCCCTTTCAATTCATATAGACTGCCTATTCATGTAAACTAACTAGTTTTAACTAAAATAAAAAAAAGCTAAATAACTAAATAAGAACTAGATCAAATTTCACAAAAACTGTATTAGAAAATACATCTCATTGAGTCATCTCGTTTCAAGAATTGGCATTATAAGATGAGGTGGCAGCAAAAGTGTTCTAGTCCTCGGAGCGAGGTAGCTGCTTGTAGTCTCCGTTCCGCCCCAACATTTAAAAAAAGGCAGCCCACTGCACGGAGAGGCTCCGACCATAAGGGTGTAATAAGGGGCAAGCCTTCCCCTGGGCTTTGACCCCTGTCATAAAACTCCCTTTTATAATATGGATGACAATCATGACATGTAGGAGTGGGAAAGATCTCAGTCCTAGGACTGGACACTCATGTAGGGGTGGGCGTGGTTGGTTAACCGTGTTTTGGTTAACCAACTTTCCGGTTAACCGAGAAACCTATTACTTCGGTTAACCGAGTATCGGTTAACCAAAGCTTCGGTTAACCGAGTATCGGTTAACCAAAACTTCGGTTAACCACAAACCGGTTAACCAAAAACCATCAAACCATTGATTAAATATATACACACACCATGTTCTTTCTATATTAATTAAGTCAAAACAAGAGAAAAATAAATTTTGAGAGTGGAATACAGGAAAAGATAAAATACACTTAATAAGAATAAACGTGTTCAATTGCTTCAAAAAAAGAATACACATGTTCAAGTCTCACGATTGCAGAATGGGCTAATTAATTATAACTCACAAAAGCTTTGACTAATTATTAATAATATGAAATTAAAAATTCTATAGTGACAAACAGAATTTGGTTTCTTCACATGTTTATTAGAATTGATGTATCTAGATGTGTTGGATACATATTTATCTTTCCAAGTTCTCTGAGAACGTGAAGTTCATGACCAGACATGAACATACCGGTTATTGGTTAACCGATAATAACATATTTCTAAAACCGTAACCGTACCGCGAACCGTTTATTCTCACGATTGGTTAACCGTACCGTGGATTTAAAAAATTGCGGTTCGGTTAACCGGGAAAAACGGCGGTTTTCCGGTTTTTAGGCGCGGTTATACGGTTACGGTTTTTTATGCCCACCCCTACTGGACAGACCTTTTTTCGAACCAGAAAATAAGGCTCCGCGATGAGACCCGATCAGTGGGAAAAAGGACCCGGTCCTACCAATTTTTTTAGGACAGGCTAGTCTAGAATTAGCAGACCGTGTCCACCCTTAATTGCATGCATGTAAATGCCTAAAGAAGGGAACCTAAATTTTAGAAAATGAATCAATATTCTTGTGGGCATTTTTTTCCGATGTCTTTGGAAGCATCTTGGTACCCAGGGCTTGCCCAGTTAGCGTCTCCACGCACAAAAGCTAATGAAGGAGCTTGGTGTCAGTGAAGCCCAAATGGATGAAATTAATTACTCCAAAAACCTTAGTGGATGTTTGGTGGACATTGTAGCTTTACAGCAGAGTTTTTAGCCTTTTTAATTCATGTAAAATAACTTCTTTGAGACGTTTACTGTTTGGTAATATTCTACGGAGTATTATATTATCTGAGTTAAAAAAAAGGCTAAATAAATACTAGATCAAATATTACAAAAAAACTGTATTAGAAAATACATATCATCCTGCCATCTCGTTTCAAATGAGCTGTGTATCAAAAGTGTTCCGGTCCTCAGAGTGAGGTAGCTAGAAGTCTCAGTCTTGCTTGTTACGAGCTAGAATTGCACGGTGCCTAAGCTCGGCCTTTTTCCACCTCACCATCATCTGGCACAAGGAAAACAGTGTATTCACCTGGGAAGAAAGAAGATGGTGATCACCGAATAATGGAATGCAGTTAAGAAACTAAACATGATAATCATGAAAAGGGAGTGCAGTAAAAAACAGTTACCAAGATTATTATCGCAATCACCAGAAGAGGCCCAGACCATAGTACAGAAAGAAAGACGCCGTTAGGATCGAAATAATTCTGTCTAGCGAAGCTCTCCCAATTTGCAGCCAATATTTTGTTAAGGTTCTCTGCAAAGTAAACTCCTCCTACTGCATAATATCCCGTTTTTAGTCATGTATTGAAAAAGGCTACAAAAATATGTGTATGCACATTGCAATCCAAGCAAATAAAGTTCTTGATTCAGATAAAACTTACTCAATTAGTATATTAATTTATTCTATCCTACGAGTACTGTAAGTGACCCACCTTAAAATATTGTCTCAAAATGACCACTTAAGTGTGGTTGGCAACTTAGACCATCCTAAATAAACTTCCTCACTCTGCCACTGCCAACGTATGCATATTTCATGGAGTTAGCATCATGATTATTTGGTTACGATTAGAATTTCAGACTTGTTTATTTGTAGTGCACAGCTTATAGAAGGCAAATAACTCCAATCATTAAGTTATTTAAATCTAACCACTAAATTCAAAAGCTGAACTTGTAAAAGTTCATACTTTGTAGATAGGGTTGCACAAAACAGTTCAACAATGCAGTGAATATAAAAACAAGTATTATAACATGACCATCAGCAGCAGCATAGTTGGGGGAAAACCAATTACTGTTAGCTTGTAGGAAATTATACAAATGGTTATTTTAGTCATTTTTAGGTGCAGAAACAATGTACTATGGTCATCACTGCACTGTGAAATTTACTCAGATATGTACGTGCTCACACCCACACCTCATCCACAAGGAAAAACCACAATTTTACAGTTTAGATCCATATGAGTTCCACAATAACTATCTATGCAAGCAAGAACTTCTGTTGTAGATTACTATTCACCAGATGGTAAAACTAGTACAATAACATCTAGCAATTTAGCTGCCAATATGGATGTTCTTAGTTTCTTACTTATTCTTCAGAATGTCCAAATGTAAGGAACATTTCCTTGTCACTAAAACAATTCACTTACCCTGAGCGTTTCCCCAATGGACTATTTTATCTAAACTGATTTCAGGGAAAACAATATGTCTGGTGTCTCTAAGCAACAAAGAAGACTTGGCCATTCGGCAAATAAAACCTATCCCTACTGCTTCTAACATTAACTCTAAGGAATTCAGGGTAAGTTTCACTAAGAGATAGCCAACTTACGTGAGAAAAGGAATAAAAACATCTGGAAATTGATGTTCTTCCTTGAGAAGACAGTTAGTAACAATAATACAGCATGGAAGGAAAGTAAGCCTACTAACCAATGTTCCTGCATATGAAAGTAAAAGAAAACACAAAAAGGGTAAGAATAAAAGCCGAATTGTGAAGTATGTAAACAAGAACTTTTAGTTATTAAAAGGGGAAAATGCAATTCCCGTAGAGAAAAAAGCAAAACAGATAAATTTATTCAGTTTCAGGAGCATCTTTATATGAAATCACAGCACCATCTTAGCTTTGCAATACAACTCCAAGTCTATCTACTACACAGTGGTAGGAATAAAACTCACCATCTTTTTCTTCCAAATATGAAAATATGAAAGGTAAACCAGAGGAAAATAAGAGCAATATCATGAGAAAAAACTCACAGAAGACAATACGTGCACGGGAGGGTACATTCAGGAAGGACAAATAATAGAAGAATAATACTCTGTAATATATTAAAAACACTTGAGTTTTGACAACATGTAATGACATATTGGACAGTAAAACACTACTACCTCTATTCCACTAACATTGGGATATGAAGAGCCCGTTTGGTAACACTAAAATTGACTAAATTTGCTGATTCTGCTGAAATTTATGAAGGTTGTATTGCCTGATTCTGCTGATTCATGAAAAAATTATATTTAAAATATTTGTTATTAATAAATTAAATAAATAATTATATGAAAAAATAGCTAAAATGATCCTCTACAGTAACTTCAGCCAATACAGCTAGAAAAGTAACACCAACCTTACTTTTTCTGATTATTAAAAAATTCAGCGCGTGAAATAAAAAATTACGTGTTTGGTGAAAAGGTGGCTGATAAGCCTGATAAGCCAAAGGGGGTCACCAAACGGGCTCGAAGGGTGGCACGGTTATTAAGAAAAGTGAGTTTGTGTGATTGATAGTGAATTGATAAAGTAAAAATGATTTAGAGTCACACAAACTTTACCAAATTTGGTATGACACAATTTTAGTGGAATTTCTTAAAAAGGAAAAATGGGACAATCTTTGCGAGACAGAAGGAGTATCTCACAATTACACATTAGAAGTCAGAGTCCAAGAATATAAAAAACAAAAGTATTATCACCAACACAAAGGTATTATTACCAGTCAAAACTTAATAAAAATGGAGTTGTCAAACAACTTTAATTGATCTAAATGTTGGGATAAGACTATCTGACTATGTCAGGGTACAACTAATTGCTTTCCAAATTGAACCTTATTAGTAGATCTTGTGTCTCAGGGTAAGTAGAATAACAATTTCTGCAAAGCTAAGAGGTTATAATGTTCAAATTGACAACGTCCAACATCAAATTATTCAGACTAAAGATTAAATATTTAAGCAAATAGATGATAAATTGCAGCTTTGGTGCAAAACAATTTCTTTAAGAATATCACGTTACATCTTTAGGAGTGTAAGAGTAGTTACATCCTATCTTAAGAAACAAATAATAACACGATTAACTGTCCCATTACAGAAAATCAAAATCTCAACACAGACGCGTTCTTGAAAACTAAATCGATCAGATGTATATTACAGAAGACCACAAACAGGTAGTAATACCGTCCAGTCAATGGCGTGGAAGAAGCCGATGAAATTCTCATAGGCGGGTTTCAGTCCAGAGCGAAGCTCAGCGGAGAACTTTTCAACAAGATCTGCCATTTGATCCATGTGGGTATTCAGCGCAGAGGTCAGTTGATCCATTTCCTCTCTCGAAATGGGGTTGCTAGATCTGTTACAATTAATAAACAACGCCTTAGGATGTGGTTTTCTTCCTTCTGCAATACAATGGAGTACGCACTCAAGACTTCAAGAGAACGTCGAGGATGGATTCTTCAGCACTCGAAGTTTCGAAGCACTGAGTCACTTCATACGGGAGTAGTTTATTACAGGAACTAAAACTACTCAAATTGGATACTTAAACAATTTAACCATGATTAATGATGAAATGAAAATTTAGAACTTATAGGTATGTCTAACTTTATCAAGTTTGATTATACGTAAAAGCAGCGTTCTAAAAGGGCTGCAAAAGGCGGGGCCCAGGCGCATCTAAGCGTGAGGCGGTGGACAAGGGCCTGGAAAATCATCTTGGGGCGAAAATATTTTTTGGGATCAAAATATTTCTTCGGAGGGAGAAAATTATTTTTCATATATATATACACAAAAAAAGTTCTTGTTGGGGAGCGGTAACCCCCCTGGGTCTGTACTACGGTCCGCCCCTGGCGGTGGAGAAGCACCTCACGTTGGAGAAAGGCTTGGAAAAAACGATAGACTCAAGAGTTGTCCACCAAAGGCGTGAAAAGGCGTAAGCCTAGATGTGAAAAGGCGGAAGTTTTTTAGATAAAATATTTTTTGCAAAGAAAAAAATTATTAAATTTAAAAATAAAATACTTTTGTAAACATGTTATACGTAGTATATGAAATCTAATACTGAGTAGTAAAAAACAACGATATATCATTTTGTATGTGCACTTTTTATAATTTAAAAATTAAATATATTGATCAAAATAAAAATTAGGCTCAATCTTGTATAATATATTTTGAACATTTATTTTCTTCTTCATATATCAGTCTATATAATAGTAATTTTCAATAGAAATCTAAAACGTCTTTTCACGTCTAAGTTTCGCATATTCTCGCCTAAGCTCTACCGGTTTGAGGCTCGGCACGCTTCACACTTTTTTTGCAAATATGTAGGACGAGCTTAGTGAGTGGAGAAAAGTGGTAGGAGAGAATCAATTAGATCAAGCTTAATATACAACATTGGTTATTTAGGCCTTTAGAGAACACGTTCCTCCATTCGCCCAGCTATACAATCTAGTCTTTTACTTTCTTATTATACATTTCCATCAAATCTAGTCAAGTTTAGTGAGGCAAAAAGAGTATGTTGTTGCCATAATCACAAAGTTTTCCTTTTTCCTTTTATCATGAGATTGAGTATATATGTGATAAAGAATGTATTCTGCTAAGTTTTCATGATCTATTAAATAACTCTTCGAATGAGTTGAATTGTAATTTTTTAAATCAAAGTGCTTTAAATCACAACCTTGAGTCCCCTCAAGATGTTTTTACTTGGACTGTAATTCCTCCCAAACCAGACCAGACCAGTTCAAACCAGACTTGAATAGTTATAAAAATACAAAAAACCCAGACCAGACCAACAAATTACAGTCCAGACCAACAAATTACGGTCCAAATAAAAACATCCTCAATCGTTTTATACACTAGACAAAGTTTGTAAAGCTTTGGGAACTACTCATAAACACACTCAAATATCAATACACATTTGAGCAAAAATAGATGAACATGGGAAGAACAGCTAGGTTTGGTCCATTTACACCCTTCTACAAAGAGTTGTCTTTATAGGCTTCAGGTCACTCCGTGAGTAGATGCTCTATGGACAAGTTTTAATGTTACAACTAGGGGTGGATTCGGTTCGGGCCACCCGGCTCGTGACCCGGCCCGGCCCGGTACTGTGCGGGCCCGGGACCGGTCCGGTCAGGCGGTCCGGGACCGGGTGTGGATCCGAACCGGTGGGAATGGGCGGGGCGGGCACGGTGCCGGATAAATGTGACCCGGCCCGGCCGGGTCGGGCCCGGGCCCGGGTCCGATCTGATTTTAATTTTTTTTTTAAAATTGGGCTACTAGCCGTTGGGGGTGGGCTGGGGACAACCCAAACGGCTATATAGCCGTTGGGTGGGGTGCAGGGGGGTCCGGGGGGGGTTGGGTGGTGGGGGGTGGTGGGGGTGGGGGGGTAAAAAAACCTATAAATACTCCTAATCTTAAACATTTTTTCATATCTCTTCTCCAATTCTTCCTAAATCCTATTCTTAACTCTCTACTCTCTAATTCTCTTATTCTCCAATATATTATATTTATTATTTATATATCTACTTTATAGTTTATACTTAAGAAGTTAAGATGGAAAATCAAGATGCCATTATACGGTATAATTTTGATAAGCAGAAGGACCCGAAGACCGGGATGTGGTACGCAATTTGCAAATGGTGCGAGAAAAATTGTAGCATGGGGGTTTCAGGCGGATACGGGATGGCAATCAAGCATATGAAGTCATGTGACAAAGCCAAAGGATCAGGAGGTGCGGGAAGTTCCGATTGATTACAATTTTCAAAATGTTTGTCTCTTAAAGTTTGTTTTAATTTTCAAATGTAGTTCCTATTTCATTTCAAATAAATGCACTTGAAGTTTGTTTTTAATACTCGTATAAAACTATAAACTATAAAATATAAATTATAAAATAAAACTTTAACCGGCCCAGCTCGAACCGGACCCGACCCGTGACCCGGGCAGGTGGCCCGGCCCGAACCGGACCCGTCCAACCCTCGGGCCGGTCCCGGGCCCATGTCATACAAACCGGCGGCCCGACCGGGCCCGAGTCCATCAATAGTTACAACTAAAAGACCCCACGGTCGAGAAAGCTGGCATTAACTACAACAAAAATCCATAACAATAAGATTATAAGAAAAACTATTGCACATGTAGGAAACTAGGAATTGAATGAGTACTTTTCGGCTCAGTTCTACGATTCTTGATTTGGATATTTCATCCCTACTCGGCTACTCGCAATATTTAGAGGACTAGAAGTTGAAAAAACTATGTAACTAAGGGGGGGAACGGGAAAAGCTCCCTTCATACAATTAGCGATCACATTGAAAAGCCAAAGATTCTAAGGGCAATAAATAAACAGTTACTCCATAAAAAGCCTGACAATGCCAATGCTACACACGGGAAAGGGAAACAAACAGATTGTGAAACTGCACCTTTCACCCCCCACTCTCCCTCACATTGTTGCCAATTCTCAGTGAAGGATAAAAGACTCCAAGTCTCCAATCAATGGCATGATTCTGGAAAACATTACAGGAAGATCACAAATTTGACAAACAAGACAATCACTACTGCAATTGGAAATCTAGACAAAGGGTTTTGCAACGAGCAAGGAGATGATGAAATCCCAGGGGGGCTATTCGCAGGTGGAAACGATACAACTGAGTTAGATGAAGGCACCGGAGACGATGTTGTTATAGGACCACCAGCCACTAAAGGTGCAGGTGCAGGAGAATACATTGTCTTTGGAGCTTCTGATGGGAGTGCAAAGAGGGGAGGGAATTGCTGTGCTCCTGAATATAACCGGGATACAAGCAGCATTAGATGCAAATTAGAGTACGAAGCTGAATATAAAATTCAAATGAAAAAATAAACACCTTTGTGGTTGATAGAATATTTTACTTATTTTGAGCACGTTCATTTTGTTAACTAATGGGTATAGGCCACACCACTAATAACATGACTAAGTACTCATTAAACACTTGTATTTTTCCCAATGATTTACCCAGTTATTTATACATAAACAAAAATCAGAGGAGACTGTCAAGATATTGAGTCGTAGAGCCAAATTTCATACTTCGTATATCTTTAAGTTCAAACTTTAATGGTCAGAAAGATGGTGTAGAGGGTAACTAACACCCCTCCACGCATTTCATAACCATTTCATTCTTTGTTTCTATAGCCCAATTAAAATATCGACTTGTTGATGATTACCTGGGCATCGAGGCTGCAGAGATGAGGATAATCTGCACCAGAATGAGAAAGAGGTTGAAGGCATAAACAATGAGTACATAAAAAATCTTTTCCATATTTGTTATGTTTTTGGTAATTTTTTCTCCACAATCAAGCACAATGTCTAGACGAGAAAAGAACTACTATTGCAAAAAATATGAAGAGAGAGAGAGAGAGTAATTATTCATCTTTTTGTCACTACGTATCATTTCATGGTGCAAATTTGTTGAACTGGAGATGCTCTAACATCTCAAATTCTTAGGAAATTCTTGTACTGTATTTTAAGATACTTGTCTTCTCTTTTGTTCGGCTAGGAGGTAAATGGAGAGAGAAATTTAATGGGTTGTATCTCTACATCCCTCCATCCTCTCAAATGTCATCCTTCCACATTGGGATCAACAGAAAGAGGAGGGACAACGCTCTTCTCGGTCATAGTCCTTAATAAATTATATAGCTTTCCTTTCATTTCTTAGTCCATTCCTTTTATTTACTAAAACACTAGCTAATCCAAATAGAGTGTGATCATTTCCCATCCCCTTGTTTTTATAATCTTCGCCCTTCCTTTACTATCTATTAAGTGTCCCGTACCAGATATTCACCTGATGTATATCTAGCATATAACAGGTAAACCTCGATTCTTGAGGATCATTTCAGGTGAGTTAATACAAGCCTCAAAATCCGCATGTAATTTCTCGTTATAATCAAACAAAAAAAATCAAATAGAACATCTATAAAAACATTAAGAATCAACCAAACATACACAGTGACAATGGTGTTATTGACAAAACCACCATAGCTGCAGGAGGTCACAATGCAACCCCCAGAAGTCTGCTGCACAGTAACATTCCCAAGCATGAGATTGCTGCTCCTGCATTGCATGCTTGAGCACGAAACTTCCAATGGAGCGGGCATGCAGCGCAAACTGTGGAAGGCCAGCAGCAATGCATGTGGTAAGATTACAGAAAGGCCACAGCAAACGTAAACTGTATTATATTGCAAAAAGAGGACGACCCGAACTTACTTGCGACTATCAGGCCCACAGCTACACTGCACACAGCGGCCTGCTGTTATAGCGTAACTCCCATTCGGCACAGATAAGGCAAAATCCGATGCGTAAATTGGAAAGTTTGACGCACAAGCTGAAAATAGAAAAAAATTATTTTCAGTTGATGATAAACATGTATGATGTATCTAAACCTGTAGCCTAAAAAGGAATATACATATGTACACCATAGAAAAATGTAGACGCGAGTTGCACATCAATGAAGTCTTTGTTCTGAAGGGCTCACGGTAGTCACAAACATTTATATATATAACAATTTCAAATTATTTCTTTCTTATCTAAAAAAGGGAAAAAACAGCAACAGGAGGAAGAAGATAGGAAGTAAGAGACAAACAGATCATGCACGCT